TGAATCGTTTCCTCCCAGTCCGCATTGAAACCCAAAAAAGGCCGTCAAAACAATAGTGGTTTAGACATGGCCCAGCACTGGCTAGTTGGAGTTGATGAGTGGTGGAGAGTGGAATCTTGCATGGCGAGGACTGCCGGACTTGGAATGTCGTTGTAGACAATGCTCCGAGCCATGAGCGAATCTCCTTTCTGCTAGTGGAAGTATTGGTTTTGAACTGGTGAATCAGCGATAGCAGCAGTAGCAGCAGCAGCAGCAACAGCGGCAACAGCAATATTAAGAGGAACTTCAGTGGCAGAAGTGCACAGAATGCGCGGCAGCAGCAGCAGCAGTCGCAACAACCCTCATAATTGTCAGCCCTTATGTACCCAACTAGAACAGTGAGATCCTGTAGAATGACAATGACAACACGTGTCACAGGGAGTTCAACTCCAATATCATTTGTGGGCGACATTCACGTGTGGAGTGGGATTGTGCCATGGAGTTTCTCAGAATGGTGGATCCCCGCCTGGTATGAAACAAGCCGAAACTGTTTGGCACGCCTATTTAGATCAAACAATTGTTGTCCTTTTCTCAGTGCCACTGCGCAAGCAAGAACCAGTTGGACCCCTCAGGATTTCATTCGCGCGGCTGTTCGTTGAAACGAGAAGACCTGGCAGTCACTCACTGAGATGTAGGTGTGTCTTTTCCTCAAATGGCGGTGTCCCGTTTACAGAGAAAGCCACCAAACAGTTGGTAGCCTGAAAACAAGACTGGTTTAGAAAAGCATGTTGTACAGACGCACTGCTTCTCCCAATTCAGCAGATTTGGACAAACTACCCCACCCAGTTCAGGCAGCCTCTATGCCATCCAAACTCACCAAAATGTGTCGAAGGTAATATTGACCCCAGATGAACCAACCCCTGTTTACTAATAGGGGGGGTCCCTGCGTTTAGTGCAAAATCGTCACTTTTGGAGGGAAACACCCCCTACGAATAAACAGAGGTTGATTAAATAGATTAATATGGGGTCAACATTACCCATGCACCACCTACCAGTGAGGCTAGGACTTGTCGCATCTTTGCATAGCCCAAGGAGTCGGGGTTTGCGAGTTTCAAGTCCAACCTGAAGCCCACACCCGAAAGCCAAGCTTTTGCGAGCCTTTGACTGGAGATCAAAAGCGAACTGCTCATCTCTGGTCTCAAGATGTTAGCGGCATTGAGTAACATAAGCGCTCTGGAAGGCATTCCAATGCCACCTTCCGGAGACCCGGAGCTGCAACACAAACCACTGTGGCAGAGACTGTATCACTTTTAGCTGTTGGGAAAAGGTCAACTACAGGTCAAACAGCTACGTACACTAAAGAGGCGACAGACAAAGGACCGGACCACTTGAGCCTCCGCAATTTTCCAAGTCCCGGCCCGTAGTTTCCGCAGCTGCAAAGCTAAGATTGGTCTGACACTTGCTCCCCAAGCCAAAGGATATGCGAGCGTAAGCATTGCAGAGGATATAGCTTCTGCGCCGCGGCACGCGCAGACGCATGTTCCATAATTGGTTCAAAATTGTTGATGCATGAAGTAGATCGAAAGAACTGCAGGGCGGACCTTTCCGGCATGTTGAGGCTTGTGAGCAAATGCATAGATGGAGGGTTGCGGTGGGGGATTTGTCTGCAAGCCTTTCTTCATAGCAGCAGTTTGATGCAAATTCAGCCAGCTGTCATCACTGCGCTCTTTTTAAACAGGCAGTGCGCAATGATTGCTGACCAAACCATGCAAGTGTTGCTCCTGCAGCCAAACTTATCTTCATGATCTATGATATAACTTTGATCCCCGGATTTGAAGCTCGGTCACCTTGTTGCGTGGTCTATGGTCAATCAGGTCTCCCTGTACACTTTTATGTGCATTCAAACCTCGCATGGGTGCGTTCAAGTGAGTTTCCTTCTGGGGATGATGTCGGGAGAAATATCGGGAGCCCTGTCAATCTGGGGACATGGGCACTTTCCCACCAAAAGGGGGCCCACGATTTGTCCCACGAACAGCACAGGCTCACTGTGGCGATCCAAACCCTTTGGGCTGCAACTTGAGGCCCAATACCCAGATGAATGGGGAGCCCATTATTTTTTGGAGGTAGCTGCTTTTAGAGGACCACCTTTTTGCATTTCGTTGATTTGCAGGGGGTCTTATTCAGTGGCCCAACTGGTAAGCCACCTCGGTCCTCCACTTTGAGTTTGGCCTGCGAGACTCCCAACACAATCCTCAGATTCCAACGCAGGTAAATTTGAGGTTAGTAATCTACTATTTTAGCAACTGATATCCGTGGGCCAGTTTTAGTCATATTTTGGAGCGCCACTTCTGATTCCTTGAAGCCACTAAAAGTAGTAATACTTGTGGTGGTGACTGGTATGATTTGGCCACTCATGACCCATTGTGGTCAACCATTGGTGCTTTGTCTTTCACTTCCCGAGAGTGGAAACCAAATAGTATCTGTTGTCATTGTGCTTGCTATGTTTTATGATGCACCACCAGTACCGATGTCTTTCAGTTCTGCGTGGCAAGTGGTTAATTTGGCTACTTTGGCTCGATTGTGACCCACCAGCTGGTATGATTTGCCCAGTTATGACCCACTACGGACTGCCGGTGTCGTTGTTCCTTTTCTTAATCAACCGCAATCTACTTGGTATCATTGGGCCAGACATCCACGGCCTAAAATCCCTCGTGTTGCAGGGCTCCCCATATATTCCCTGGTTCCCTGGAAGCTTCAAACACCTTTTTGGGCTGATTTAGGTGAGTTCCCTCTTGCTGAAGTGTCCTTTAAAGGGGACATGTCGGGACGCCGCGTCAGGCCTAGCAGCACCAAAGAGGCCGAACCTGCATGAGTCTTGGGGAAGGTCATACTAAGTTCTATACCAAGCTCTATGTCAAATCCGACTAAAATTGGGGTTTGGGGGTTTTAGGGTTTAGGATATTCAAGTCAATTGCCCAAATCCGACTCTTCGTTTTCAAACCAAATTTCAAGCCTGTTTGTTTCAAGCCTGCGCGTGTCAAGCCGATTTGTTTTAACCCGCAGGTTTGGTCCGGTTGACTTGTCTATTGCCACAAGTTTTGGGCAAGGCAGGAAAAGTACAATCAATGGGAACTGGCAGTCAGACGCTTCTGCCCAAACGGCTGGTGTCCTTGAACAGGACCCTGGACTCTGCTGGGGTCTAGAGGGGAAAGAAAGAGATAGACATGACGGGATGAGTCTCTATCGACAATACATAGATGCATAGAGGCCCAAACCTTCATCCCAAAACCCATCCTCACGTGTTAGCATGTTCACTGTGAGAAGATGGATCAAATAGATGGGTTTGGAGATGGAAAGATGGGATTTCCCTTTTCCACCTACCACCTTAGAAGCGGTGGACCTCGCGTAAATCCAGTTAAGAACCTGGGAGTTTGTAGCTGTCACCTACAATAGGCCACTGCATCTGATGATAAGACGTGAAGGCACGTGAAATCTCTTGTCAGGCGAAATACTCGCAGGATTTCCACAGTCAGCCGCCACTTTCCAAAGCCATCCTTGCATCACTATGCAAAATAATTCTGTAAGCTTGGTGGGGGGGGCAAAAGGGCCACACGGCTGTCACCATCGGGATCAGAGAACATACCGGCCGCACGTTCCGGATACGACGTGCGAGCATTTTGGGCTGATTTGGACCCAACATAAAAATCAACCCGACAAGGGTACCCTCAAAAACACACCCACACACCCACACACACACACAGACGTGTTTATCATCAAACGACCTTGTTGCTTGCGGTGGATAGGAACGGGACCGGCCGTCACCATCGTTGTGAGTCCCATGAAACGACCAAAGGTCCTGGCCTACGACACAAGAGTTTAGACCGTAGCACATGTCGTGTTCGGGCTGTCTAACAACGCAACTATCCAATTTGCTCCACTTGCATGTTTGTCAAGCCGCGACATGTGCAATGCAAGACTGCAGAATCCCTGTTGCAAAGTGAGAAGGTCGCATATCAAGAAATGACCTGACTGCAGGTTTAAGTTGACCCTGCTTGGTTTCGCCCCCTAGGTTTCCCGAAGTCACCAGTCTTCGTCAGCCCAAAACGATGCCCGTCGCAGCACGCCGCTTTCACAGGACCTGGATATTGACCCGCCACTGCACGGCGCCGCAAAGCGAGGCTCGCTCCGGTGGGAATGAGGTCCGCCTTTTGGCAATTTTTCTGTTTTTCGTTGGCGGAACATGTTTAAGTGGCTGTGGGTCAGAAATGCGTACCCAAAATGGCCTGCCCTGGTAAATGGAACCAAAGACTAAAACATGCGGTCCCCTGGTGGTTTTATTTTGACTCACACCCAAGTCAAGTTCGACCCTCCTAGAGTAGAAATCCTCCTTGGGAAGGGGGGTGAGTCTCCTTTGTGTTCCTGAGAGTGTCAGAGCCCACAAGGGCACAAGGTGTGGTCCCAGGCTTTCTTGAGGCAGGTTCCAACTGTTGGCTTTGCACATTTCTGCGTTTTTGACTCGAGCTCACCTGGGATTAAACTGAGCTCCTATATTTCAGGTTTCGGAATTATTGTAAGCACCAGGCTAGGCCAATATGCCGGCGATTGTTTTTCATGCAATTGAGCATTAGATTGACAGCGCCGTCAAGCACTGCATGCTCGCACATGATCAGAGCCTCCGTCACGCGTTTGCAAGGTCCGCACTGCGCACAAGCATCCATTCATCGTCCGGGTTCCGGCCGAAGTCAGCCCGCGTCGCGCCTTTTTTGGCAGAACACTTGATGGTTGCAAGAATTGAGGGGGCGTTTGAGTTGAGAGTCTTGCTCGACATGTCAGCATCAGTTTGCGTGTCGACTACTGGCTTGAAACGCTGCAACAGCAAGGTCCTTTTGTTTGTGCAGTTCAACTGCAAATTAAAATCGAGCTTTGGTTGCCTCTGTGCTTGATCTCCAGACTTCAAAGTAATCTGGGCACAACAAGTTTGAACTTGGTTTTCATATAAACCAGCGTTGTTTTTGGACAAACAAACATATATATATAGTAGAACCCCCATCAAATAAAGCAAAAACCTTGGTATTGGGAGGGGGTCTTAGCATATATATATATATATATGCATGAAACAACAAAAACAGGTGTTCTGTTTGGCTTCGTTTAGTTTGGGACGTCGGGATGCCAAGGGTCCAAGCCACTGAGCATCAGGCTGTGCCCCTGCCATGGCGCTGCTGCTACGTGCCAGGCCTTGGCCTCCACTTCTTTGGGGCCAAATGGCGGTGGTCAAACCAATGGGATCCCGTTTTGCCCATTTGAAACATGGCTTTTTCCACCAAAACAAAGGGACACCACCGTTTACAAGGTGAATTCACCACCCATTTTAGTGGTACCCCCATTTTGGGGGATTGGTTAAATCACCACCCATTTTAGAACCTAGTTTAGTAAAACCCTGTGCCGGTACCTGGTGTCTGAACATCAAATTAGGTGAGTGTTCCGCCCCAAAATGGAGGCATAGGTTATGACCCATAGCCAAATGGTCCCTCAAACTACCCATAAAAAAGAGGCATGCGCCGCATAATTTTGGGGCAGTAACTCATTTTGAAGGGAAGTTTGGGGGTCCAGGCATATATATATATATATGCTCACACCCCCCCCCATGAACTACATTTGGGGCATGTGTCTTTGATCCATCTGCTCATCTGCGTCTGAACTTGTCAAGTCTGCCAACACCAACTTGTCCTTGTTCATCGGAGGTCTGTGTCTGCATCCACCAAGTGCCAAAGATAACACCAAATGCATCTGGATGAGGAAATGTTGAGGAAATGTGAAGACATGTCAACCATATTCTGAGCAAGAAGTGAACAAGTCATGAGGGAGCAATGATGAAGCAGAGACGAAGCAATGAAGAAGTGATGAGGAGGTGATGAGGAAGTGATGAGGAAGTGATGAGGAAGTGATGAAGTAGTGACGATGTAATAAAGAAGTGATGAGGAAGTGATGCGGAAGTGATGAGGCAGTGACGAAGTAATGCAGAAGTGATGAAGAGGTGATGAGGAAGTGATGAGGAAGTGATGAGGAAGTGATGAAGTAGTGACGATGTGATAAAGAAGTGATGAGGAAGTGATGAGGAAGTGATGCGGAAGTGATGAAGCAGTGACGAAGTAATGCAGAAGTGATGAGGAGGTGATGAGGAAGTGATGAGGAAGTGATGAAGAAGTGATGAAGTAGTGACGATGTAATAAAGAAGTGATGAGGAAGTAATGAAGACATGTTTGTGGAGGGATGGCTTGTGGATCCATGGAAAGCATTAAGCCTGGAACAGGCGGGAAGCAACAAAAAGTTGCAACTCCCGCACCTGCTGTGGAGTGGTCTGCTCTATTAGCCAAAGGCTTCTGACACTGCAAGCTGGACTGCGAAAAGAACCGAGCGCGCTGCTGTACTGAGTCCAAGGGCACCTCCTCTTCAAATAGACTGACCAACACACCACAAACCAAAAAAAAACAAAAAAACTCAAAGAAACCAAAGAAAACCAAAAAAACCTCGAGACAACCAAAAAACCAAAAAACCAAAAAACCAAAGACTTTGGCTGGTTTTGGAAGACTGCTTTGGTTTTTTGGTTTTCTCGAGTTTTTTTTGTTTTCTTTGGTTTTCCTCGTTTTTTTGGTTTTTTGAGCTTATGGAGTCCAAAAAACAAAAAAACACATGTGTTTTTTTGGTTTGTGCACAGTGCTTACCCACCAAAACCATAAAATACACTGTTTTTTTGGTTTTTGGGCTCCATAAGCTCAAAAAACAAAAAAACTCGAGGAAAACCAAAGAAAACCAAAAAAACCTCGAGAAAACCAAGAAACCAAAGCAGTCTTCCAAAACCAGCCAAAGTCTTTGGTTTTTTGGTTTTTTGGTTTTCTCGAGTTGTTTTTTGGTTTTCTTTGGTTTTCCTTGAGTTTTTTGGTTTTTTGAGCTCATGGAGCCCAAAAACAAAAAACACAATGTATTTTATTGTTTTGGTGGGTAAGCACTGTGCACAAACCAAAAAAACACATGTGTTTTTTTGGTTTTTGGGCTCCATAAGCTCAAAAAACCAAAAAAACTCGAGGAACACCAAAGAAAACCAAAAAAACCTCGAGAAACCCAAGAAACCAAAGCAGTCTTCCAAAACCAGCCAAAGTCTTTGGGTTTTTTTTTCTCGAGTTTTTTTTGTTTTTCTTTGGTTTTCCGCGAGTTGTTTTTAGTTTTTTGAGCTTATGGAGCTCAAAAAACAAAAAAACATCAAACAATGGAGGTTTTTTTACCACTCGGCTAAAAAAACTTGAACAACTCAGTGTTTTTTGCACTTTCTACTGCTGAGATGCAATTGGTTGAGGGCCGAAATCCGGCCGGTATTTTCTTGCAGTTGTACTTCCAAAACATGTAGAAAGCACGGTAAATACCAGTGTTTTGTAAGGGTTATATGAACTGAGCAATGCAAATGTAGTTCATGGGGGGGGGGTGTGACCATATATATATATATATATATTTATGTGCAAATGTGTGGGGGTTGATCAATATTCCGTTAAAGGCACCCAAATGACCATGGGTAACGTTTCCAATTTGGTGACTTGGTGAAAGTCGTATCTTAAATTTGGCGGTTTCCGTGATGGTCATCCCATGTAAAGGACATCTTCCCGTATATTTTTGGGTTGCTATTTTTGCTAGTGCTAGGGCCAAAATCTGGGCTTGGGTACGTAGGCAAATCAAGTCATGATCATAAGCATGGCGTGTATCCTTGACCAGATAAATGAAGAGATAAGGAAGAACTCCTCGGGTGTGTGGATATTGCTTCCGTTTCAGTGGGAAGCCACCCCCCAAAAGCAAGTTTGAGCACCCCTTAAATGGAACCAAAGGGTCTTCCTTTTTCACCAGCTGAAAGCTACGTGATCTTTGCCATAAGCTCAGAAATTAGGGTTCGGTAGCCATTGGGCCATGTTCCAATCGCAATTGGTTGTGACTTAGGATCATCTTTTCGTGGTTGGCTCAAGGAAAACATTTCGGGGGCCATTTCAGTGGCGGCCAAATGCCACTCCTTCGATTTCGATGCCAAAGAAAGCCCAAGCTCCGGGATTTTTCCCCCCTTTTCCAAGTTCCAATTTCTTCTCCCGTGTCCAATCCGCCAGGGCCGACCCGGACGAGGTGAATGCCCAGGGGGATTCCCCGTTGCATTTGGCATGCAGGCGGATCTGGGAAAAGCGAGGGGTGCATTGATCCCAACCCAATTCCAAAATGGGTCGGCTGGACGAACTGTTCCTGAAGTGTGGTTCAGTTATCTTAGGTTTCAACAGACCATAGCGGCGATGCAAAGTCGGTCAAAGGGCGCCGTGGATTTGGGAGATGACTTCCCGGCAATTCAAGGGGAATCACTTCATCAAAATCGGAGAACTGGCTGCCTGTGGCCTACAAATTTCATGGCCGTTGGCAAGCCATGGAATGCATTGCATGAGACACCAGCTCAATCAACAACTTGCAGCAGTTGCACTTGGGTTTGTTTGCGTACCAGGGATTGGTTGACCTCTTTCTGCCCGCAAACCGAGAAGCCCTCACTCCCTGGGATGCGCTGGCTACAACTTCCTGAGTCTTTAGGACCCTCCGAAAATGGGGTAATGTTCTCAGCATTGAGGGGCAGTGACAGCATGGTGACCGCATAGCTTGGGCCTTGGAGACTCGAGGAGTGTTGCACTGTTGCTTCTCACCAGTGAAATCTCTGGTGTCTTTGGCAATCCTGGGTTTGGAGCGGTCCAGTGGCAGGTTGCTAGAGGGTTGCAGGGAGCCTTCGAGGAGGTTCAAGTCTCCTTTCGGGCTTGCTTTCCTTGCAAAACATCCAAATCGTTGCCGATTTGGCACAGTTCAAGACCGAGCTGCTTCGGTCCTACTTTCCCTTTGGGGATTCAGTTGGGATGCATGTTTGTCATTTTGCTGGTGCCCAGAGTTTCTTTTTAACCCCGCGTTGGTCAGGCAGACTCCAGGTGGCAAATATCAAGCACACTTTGAAAGACACAAAAATATGAATATCAAACGAACGTCCTTCTTGGGAGTCTGAAGGACTGTTTGAACGTGGAATCGTTCCCTCCAGTGCCCCTTGTGTCAAATACATGGGGAGACTTCAGCTACAAACTTGAAACACAACGCCATGCCTGGTTAAGGGTGTGTTCCTTTTGTAGGGGACCCTTCGAAATGGTGGTTCTCCTTATGGTTCTCCGTGAAACCCACCAAGAAAGGGTACCCTCATGCCGACCTTTTGGTTCTATGGTCCATATGTCATGACCCCAAACGGTTCAGCTTTTGGTTCCAGGGTCTTTGGGCGGAAAACTCAAAGGCAGACGCCCTTCCAGCCCAGCGACATGCAGAACGAGGCTGGGAGATGTGCTGTTCGTTTGTCTCTTTCTTTGTTTGGTTCGGTTTGGTGTTGTGTTGTTCTGTTTGCTTGTTTTTCTTTTGTTTTGTGTGCTTATTGTGTGTTTGTTTGGTTGTTTGTTTGTCTCCTTTCTTGCTTGCTGATTTTGCTTATTTGCTTGTTTGTTTGTTTGTTTGTTTGTTTGTTTGTTTGTTTGTTGGCTGGTTCGCTTGCTTGTCTCTTTGTTTGTTTGTTTGTTTGTTTGTTTGTTCGGTTGTGTGTCTGTTTGTCTGTATGTCTGTTTGCCTGTCTGTTTGTCTGTTTGTTTGTCTGTCTGCTTGTCTGTGTGTTTGTCAGTTTCTCAGCTTTTTTTCTGTTTTGCTTGTTTGTTTGTTTTTTTCGCGATGATATGTTTGTTTCCACACTCAGGAACCGGCTTTGTCAGATTGATTTTTCCAGTCGGAAGGGTGCATGGCAGGTAGTGAGCTTGCTCCTGAGCCTGCGGCCAAGTGACTGGCCGATGTCGAAGGGAGTGGTGCAGTGGTGGGGCTTTGTGACGGGAATAGCACCACGAGGGGTCAAGGCAGCTGGTGTCTGCGTTTCTGTTTGCGTTTTTCTGAGTGGGCCAGTTGAACGGTGGACGGACCGATGGACGGACCAATGGGGGAAGCATGGGGCCCAGCTGGTTCGACATGTGTTCCTTTGGGGTCTGTGGTGCATCTATAGAGCAGCGCGCATGAATGAGGCCTCACAGTGTCACACCTCATCCTCCTGGCTGATAAGTCAGGCCATAGGGCACCAACATTTTTGGTGAAGGCAGCTTTCTAGCGGGGGATCTGTGTGGGCAGCCCAGATAAGAAACTCCTCTTGGCTTCTTTCGCTTGAGTGATCGCTTCCCTGAGGCCATGGAGCCATGCCCCTTGCTGTGGACGCTTCTGGAAACACACCCCGATGCCTGGCGAGCTCAGCTTCCAGTGGCGGATTGCGGGGTGAGTGTGTGTGCCTGTGTGTGCAGGTGTTGTAGGTGTTGTAGGTGTTGTAGGTGTTGTAGGGGTTGTAGGGGTTGTAGGGGTTGTTGTTGTTGTTGCTGTTGTGGTTGTGGTTGTGGTTGTGGTTGTTGTTGTGGTTGTGGTTGTGGTTGTTGTTGTGGTTGTTGTTGTTGTGGTTGTGGTTGTGGTTGTGGTTGTGGTTGTTGTTGTGGTTGTGGTTGTGGTTGTGGTTGTGGTTGTGGTTGTGGTTGTGGTTGTGGTTGTGGTTGTGGTTGTGGTTGTGGTTGTGGTTGTGGTTGCTGTTGCTGTTGCTGTTGCTGTTGCTGTTGCTGTTGCTGTTGCTGTTGCTGTTGCTGTTGCTGTTGCTGTTGCTGTTGCTGTTGCTGTTGCTGCCGCTGCCGCTGCCGCTGCCGCTGCTGCTGCTTCTGCTGCTGCTGCTGCTGCTGTTGCTGTTAAGGTTGCGGTTGCGGTTGCGGTTGCGGCTGCGGCTGCGGCTGCGGCTGCGGTTGCGGTTGCGTTTGTTGTCGTCGTCGTCGTCGTCGTCGTTGTCGGTGGTGGTGGTGGTGGTGGTAGTGGTGCTCCTGCTGGTGCTGCTGATGCTGCTGTTGTTGGTGTGGCTGGTGTTGCAGCTGTTGCTGGTGTTGCTGGTGTTACTGGCGTTGGCGGCGGTGGTGGCGGTGGTGCAGTGGTGGCGGTATGTGGCGTTGGGTGGCGTTGCTGCTGTTTTTGGCGTTGTTGGCGTTGATGGCGTTGGGTGGGGTTTGTGTTGGTGATGGTGTTGTTGTGATTGTGCTGATGTTGTTACTGTTGCTGTTTTGTTTTTTTTAGCTGCTGCTGCTGCTGTTGTGGTTCTTCTTGCTCTTCTTCTTGTTCTTATTTGTGTTCTTCGTGCTTTTGTTGTGTTTGTTCTTGTTGTGGTTGCGATTGTGTGGTATTGTGCTGTATGCGTGTCTGTGTGTGTGACTTGTGGTCTGTTTCTGTTGCTGTGTCAGTGTGGTGTGTTGGTGTTGGCGCAGCGTGCGGATACATTCGATGTGTGCGGGCTTGTGTAGTGTGTTTATTTGTTTGCTTGCTTGCTTGTTTGTTTGTTTGTTTATTTGTTTAATTGTTTGTAGGTTTGTTTGTTTGTTATTATGCTTGCTTGGTTGCTGGTTTGTCTTCTTGTCTGCGTATTTGTGTGTCTGTCCGTCTGTCTGCCTGATTGGTCTGTCTGTCCGTCTACCAGTGGTATGTGTGTGTGTGTATGGTTCTTTATTTCTGTGTTTGTTTGTTTGGTTGTTTGTTTGTTTGTTCCCTTATGTGTTCTGGTTTTTGTTTGGTTGTTTGCGTGTGTTTGCTTGCTGGTTCTCTAGTTTTGCTTTCTGCTTGTGGGTTTGTGTAGGTGTGTTTTGTGTGTGTGTGTGTTTATGTTGTTCATGTTTGTTTGTTTGTTTGTTTATGTGTAGTGTGTAGATGTTTGTGTAGATGTTTGTGCGTTTGCGTTCTGTATTTGTGTGTGTGTGTTGTGTGTGTGTGTGTGCGTGTATGCGTGTGTGCGCTTGTGTGTATGGTGTGTGCGGTTTGATGGTGCATGTATGTGTGTTTGCTTTGTACGATACTCGGTATCTTAATGACAAGGAATATCAGCGTTGCTCTTGTAGACTATCATGGTCATTATTGGTATCACTGCGCTCAGTACTGTCATGGTTACGAGTATTCCCGTGAACGCTGGTACTAGTATCACGATCATAATCGTCATCGCGTGCCTATAGGTCGTATATTAAATTGAACGTGTGTGGTTGTCACTGCCGCAACATCATCATCGTTGGTTTGCTTGTTTGTTTGTTTGTTTGTTTGTTTTTGTGTGTGTTGCTGTGTGCTTTCCTGCAAGCTGTTTTTGTTGGCTTGGGGAGTGCTGATATGCCTCAGTATATATCTCAATATCTGTGTTTTGGCCTTACCTTCTCATTGTCTGATTGAGTGTCGCTCCGAAACCTAAAAACCGTGCAAGCAGGCCAATCAGAGCCATTCGAAATGGAGGGCTGGCCAGCTGGCCAATTGGATTTTCATAAATCCTGAAGGGGCAAATTCGATACCCAAGGGACGGAAAGCGGATTGCCATACAAATGCGGACTCGCGTAAGAGGTCGCAAACTGAGGCTACGTACATGAGCGGCATCTCCAAGAACAGCTTCAGAAGGCGGGGGTGGGGGGATTTGAAGACAACTGCGGACCCCCGTTGTTGACACCCTGCTTTTTCCGCCCAGTCAAAAAGTACTTTGGTTTGCCAGAAAAAAAACAACAACCAGGTTTTCGTGCGCTTTGCGAGCACATCCACTTCTCTGGTCGCTATTTTGGTGGTAAATGAACGTTCAGATTTTTTTTGCCAAACCACCCAAGACTCTCCTCTTTGGTTGCTTAAGGTTTCGGACCTGGCTGCAAGCCTTGCGACCCAGGCCGAGGGCCGTTGGAGCCGTTGGGAGGCGTTGCGGGCGCTGCGCTCTTCGAGGCCGGGGCTTCCAAAAGGCGGCCGACGAGTCGGCCTTTCTGGTGGTCTTAAAACTTGGCCATGGGTCAAAAGCCAAATCGTACCCCCAGTGAACATCCCAATCGAACCACTAAAACTAGACCACGGTTGGCCCGAAAGCAGAACATCGCAAGCGAGGTCGGCCCAACGCTGCAGGATGCGTTCTTTTTCCCTACACGAAGCATTCGTGAAGCAAGCGCGAGACAGCACCAGGCAAGGTGCTCTGTGCAAGTTGCTCTGTGCAAGTTGCTCTGCGTAAGTTGCTCTGCGCAAGTTGCTCTGCGCAAGTTGCTCTAGGCAAGGCGCTCTGCGCAAACTGGTCGGTGCAAGTTGGTCTGCGCAAGTTGCTCTGTGCAACTTGCTCTGCGCAAGTTGCTCTGCGCAAGTTGCTTTAAAATGCAAGTTGCATCTTGCGACGCCCGCCCGCGGACCAGGGAGGAATCGAACCCGCGACCCGCCGGTTCCGGGAGCAGGCGCGCGAACCACGAGACAACTCCCGAGGACCAGTTCGAACAACAAAAGTCGCAAAAAACCTTGAGTTTTTGCACCTCGACCACGCCGATCCCCGCAGAGGGTTGCGCGGGCACCGCAGAAATCGCAAAAAACCATGGGTTTTTGCACCTCGACCACGCCGATCCCCGCAGAGGGTCGCGCGAGCACCGCAGAAATCGCAAAAAACCTTGAGTTTTTGCACCTCGACCACGCCGATCCCCGCAGAGGGTCGCGCGAGCATGTTAAAATCGCAAAAAACCATTTTTTTTGCACCTCGACCACGCCGATCCCCGCAGAGGGTCGCGCGGGAACTTTAGAAATCGCAAAAAACCATGGGTTTTTGCACCTCGACCACGCCGATCCCCGCAGAGGGTCGCGCGGGAACTTTAGAAATCGCAAAAAAAACATGGGTTTTTGCACCTCGACCACGCCGATCCCCGCAGAGGGTCGATTTTCGTGTAGTGTCGTCGGCACTACCCCGCCGCCCTAAGAAGAGATTTTAACTCCTCGCAAGTCAATTGCACTTGACTCCTTGCACTTGCAACTTGCACTTGACTCCTTGCTTGTTTCAAGGAGTCATTGCAAGGAGTCATTGCAAGGAGTCATTGCAAGGAGTCATTGCAAGGAGTCATGGCAAGGAGCAAGGAGTCATTGCAAGGAGTCATTGCAAGGAGTCATTGCAAGGTCAAAGGAGTCATTGCAAGGAGTCATTGCAAGGAGTCATTGCAAGGAGTCATGAGAGCCATTGCAAGTTGCAAGGAGCCAAGTGCATGGAGTCAAGTGCAAGTCGCAAGTGCACGGAGTTAAGTGCAAGTTGCAAGTGCAAGGAGCCAAGTGCAAGGAGCCAAGTGCATGGAGTCAAGTGCAAGTTGCAAGTGCATGGAGTCAAGTGCAAGTTGCAAGTGCATGGAGTCAAGTGCAAGTTGCAAGTGCAAGGAGTCAAGTGCAAGTTGCAATCCTTGCCATGACTCCTTGCAATGACTCCTTGCAATGACTCCTTGCAATGACTCCTTGCAATGACTCCTTGCAATGACTCCTTGCAATGACTCCTTGCAATGACTCCTTGCCTTGCAATGACTCCTTGCAATGACTCCTTGCATGATGCTGATTCCTTGCAATGACACCTTGTAATGACTCTCATGAGAACAACTCAAGTGAACCCAGCGGAAGAACCCTTCGCCATGCTTTCGGGAATAGGTTCTAAAATGGGTGGTGCACCGAAAACCCCCAAAATGGGATCCCATTGGTTTTGACCCACAGCCGCATCACCTTTTTGGCCCATGAAAGATGAGTGCCTCTTGGCGGGGGCGATGTTATGGGAGTCCCGTCCATTGGCAGGAGGGGATGTCAAGACTGCCCTTTTTTCCCAGGAATCTTCACTTATATTGTCCCACTCCCTGAGTTCATGGACGTGAACAACTTGTTGGGGCTGGAGCATTTTAGTGTCAAACAACAGGTTTGGACGAAGTGCGTTGAAACGAGGACAATTCAAGCAATGGAGGTTCACGCAACCATGGTTTGCCTGAGGGGTTTCATGAGCTAGATCGGGTCAAACACCATTTTGGGGGCTGAAGCCGATAGGGTGGGTATGTCGATTGAAAGTGGGGGACCTCAACAAAAATGGTGTTTAACTTTTTTCCCTTTCGATCAATGTGAACAAGGTACCCTGAAAACATGGCACACGCGCATCCACCCGCCCGCCCGCCCGCCCGCCCGCCCGCCCGCACGCACGCACGCACGCACGCACGCTTGACACTTGACACCTAGTTTTGCTTTTTACTCATATCGACCACAAACAACCTGGTTTCCTGTTGTTTGAGCAAAGGGCAAATCTGCCTGGAGCCCCTTGATTGAGGAAAGTAACCTTTAAATTTGAGTGCGCCACATGTTGAAGGTCCATGGGGTCTGGAGACTTCAGGTATTTGGGCATCGGACGAGAGTGTTCGATTGCTAGTTCCCTGATTCCGTATCGCCAAGCCTTTGCCAATTGTCCAGTGTTCTTTGGGGGAATTTTCAATGAGATTGCACCTCAGCTCACATGCGGACGGTGTTCCAAGGGCAGCCAGCAGTTCCCTATTTGCAAAAGAAGAAAGTAGGACGTATGTGTTTTTGAACTTTACGGATGTAGCGCTATGCATTTTCTAGTTGCTTTGAGATGGACATTGCCCCGACTGGTAAAATAGTGCTTCATTCGCAGATGCAAACGACTGTGGTTTGCAGCCCTTTCCCTCCCAAAACAGGATCTGCGCATGGGATGGGTGCAAGTGTCCCTCAGCCTGGTATGGTCCTTTCTGCCCCTTTTGGCCTGATGTCTGGCGCAGGTCATGCGAGCCACAATCAACCCCCGGAAGTTGAAGGGCAGTAAGGGACTGTCCCAACCCTGAAACAGGGAAACAGGCGCGGTCGCCCGTCCGGTTCTTTACACTGTTTGTGTGGACCACCTTAATGCCTCAGTGCCAGGTTTTGATTGTTACTCGAGTAAGCCTTAAATGGGAATCATGGGCATGGCCGAACAACCGATGGGAACGGTCATAGACCACTATTAATTGTAGGAGTCTACTCCTGGAACCATGACCCACAATTGGACCCAATCTAATTGTAGCCTGGATTGGTTGTTTGGGGATTGAACCCCTTCTCCTGGTAGAGGGCCAATGGAAAGCCACCCTCTAAACCACAAATGAACACGATGAATCCAAACCCCAAGTCCAAACAACAAGCCGAAAGCCGGAAACATGAGGCAGTCTACCAAGATCCTGCCCGAGCTCGTCGACAACATCGTGAGCTTTTTCTGACGCGGCAGTTTTTGGTCGGGCGCTCGTAGTCTCAAATGGGGAAACCGGGACCCCAAATTGGGTTCCCTTCAAAACCAACCGAAAGGGGACTTCCTCAGAAAAGACTAATATGGGTGTATCTTTTTCAGGGCTCCTTATTTGAGCCTACTGCAAGCCGAAATAGTTGCAACTAGTCAACTACATTTGCAAGTTCTTGCCGTTGGTTGATCAGACATGTTGTGACACGGCCGCAAATTGCTGCCAGGTGGATAAAGCCAGTTTCCTATGTCCATTTGGGTGTGTGCAAAAACACCGCGTTTTTTCAGAGAACGCCCGGGTCTCCGGAACGGCTCATTCGCAGAGGACCTTATGCAATTCCTGGCGTAGACAAGCTTACCAGAGCTTTGGGGAAGTGGCACGTTCATATTTTCGAAGAGGCGCGTTGTGGAAGGGGTATTTGTGCACTCCATATTTGGGGAAGGGGCATTTTCAACACACCGAAGGGACATTGAATTTGTGCACTTCGGCTTCTTAGATGGTTTTCCCGCAGGGCTCCCAGGCTCAGCTGCCCCCCTTCCATCCAGCGGGCGAGTGGGGTTCGTTGGGTTGGCTCACGGTTTCGAACCCGGGGGCTCGGGTCTGAGGCTGAAAGCCGGCATGTGAGCAATGCAAGCCTGACGCAAGCCGTATGCTTTGCGTTTTTGCATGTGGGTGCAAGTAGTGTACAGACCAAATTCGATGCAACCCTTATGATGCCCTTCCCCCAACTTCTTGAGATTGTCAGGGAGTTGGTATTCTCTGCGACATCTGGTGCAAAGGCACTGAGGGCATGATGTTACAGGATCCACAATTTCAAATGTTCAATGGCTATTAATACTTCGGAGAAATGCTGGTCAGGTGATCGCAGACTTGGGCGGCTTTTTGTAGATCCAGGGGATGGATTGGTTCCCAAATACACCAGGGTACAGATAGGTGGCACAAGTCCTTGGGACACAAACCAGGGACTGGTGCCATCTACTTTCACCCAAGTGTAAGGATGGGGGCGCTTCAATCCGTCCCCAACTTCCAAAATTCAGCAGACTTTCTGACTAGCGTGGCTGAGAACTGCCGATTGCAGGATTCTCTGAGGCCATGGAATTGATAGGGCGCAGAGGTAAGCTGGCTGAGGCAGGAAGGGACCAGACTGTCGCAAAGAGTTCAGCAGGGGCTCCCTTCCATGTCACAAGCCTCTGAACCCTGTCGATATTTGCTGCAAGTGCCGTCACTGCGCTCCGGGAGGGTGTATGTTCACATTCTTTGCGGGCTGATGGGAATGTCTTGTTGTGTCAAACGAGATCCAACACGCAGAAATTCCTCGCCGAGCTTTCCGACACTACCCCAAAGAAACGCTGCTCAGAACCCTTCTAAGAAGGTAAGACTGGATGGTCTACAGCAAAATGATCCCCCTAATTGTTGGCTTGGGATACCCTCCCAGAAGGGCGCCGGAGGTGAATCTTTTTGGGAGAGTACCCCCTGTTTGGGGTAGAGGGAAAACAATGGAACCGCCTCCCGCCACCAACATGGAGGTTCCATATCCCGTTTTCAGAAGCCATCCCATGCTATTGCCCAACGAAAGTCGCGCGACAGAAACCCGAATCACGCCTGGAGCATGGCCCAAACTCAGCCTTCATGCTTTTTTTTTGTGGTATTGTTTTGTTGTTGTTTTATTTGCATGTGCATTGTGTCAGCTCACGGCTCCAAACGATTTGCAATCGAATTTAGCTCACCCTTATTGTATTACTTGCACCATTTCCACCTACTAACGTGACGCCTGACCGAAGGTCCAAGAAAGAGGATGATTTGTCTGTTCAGGGTGGGTCCTTAAACCCTCAACGTGAGTGCTTAGGGTGTGTGTGTGTGTAAATCTTATGAGCTCATGGTGACACAACTCAATCAAAGGGGCATAGCTCATCAACCTCTGGCTCACTTACCTTATGCTGACAAAGGTGGTTGAACAGATTGCACAAGTCCTCTGACTGAAGGTTGCTTGATGGCGATGAAGTGTAAAATGTTTGAGCTTCATTCCCAGCATTTGGGTCAGGAATCCAAATCCCCGGTTGTTTGGAGTCAATTAATCGCCTAGCCTCCAACTTGTGCTGCTTAAATTGTTTGCACAAATCTGCCGTCTAGAAGAAATGTGCTGCACAACCAGCGTATTTCTACGACTACAAAAAACGACATCTATTCACCATCCAAGCTTCATAAGCTAGCAGCAATCGGCACGGAGCAATCAATCCTACCAGAGCGGAGTATCGTTACCCGCTTGCCAATGTGGGACAGCTGGAAGCGTGGCAGTTTTTTTTCGGCTGTGGCCGAAGCGGCAGCACGGCTAGCAAGAGCTCGGGGAGTGGGCGGTTGCGCCCTGCTTGCGAATCCTCCAAGGCCAGGGCCGGAGTGAACCGGAAGGTCACTCGCAGGTCACCGGCGTTTATTTTGTTCGTATCCAGTTGTTGGCGTGACTTTACTCACTTCAAGGGTATGGGTCAAAATTGCACCAGGGGACCGCAGGTTTTGCTCCATGTTTCCACTGACTAGGGTTCCATTTGGGGTACCTATTTTTGACCCACAGCCATATTCTACCTTCCAGTTGGCGTCTTTCTCCAAAGGCTCCGTCCGTGATGACTTGCTAACCTCAGGGGGGAGGCCGAGCTCACCAATGCAGCGTGTTTCTTGGCCATGTTGCGAGACGGTGTATACCAATTTCCAGTCAGACTACTGTTGATCACCATGATCGTTCCAATATGTGGTATGCTCGCAAAGTTTGTTTGGTTTGGTGGGGGGAGGCAAAGGAATAAATGGCATAAATGGCGACTCCATGTAGGTCAGGCAAGAGGATTGCAGCAAGGTGTGGCAGAGTTGAAGAAATCGAGTCCTTGATACCTTTGGATTTGCTCACTGTTCTTGGCGCACATCACGTGAAGGGCTGAACACATTTGTTCACACGCGAGTGAGTGCTAAAGGAACGAGATAGGGGGATCCAAGAGAAGAGGATCACTTCAATATGGCTCATGCTTGGAGGAGTCACTTCTATGGACGAGGTCAGTTGCATCTCACACATGAAGGTGGGCGTTTTTTTTGCGAGTCCTGGCATGAAAAAGGCGCCAACCCCTGGAAAAGATCACAGCGGAACATGCACCTGCGATTGAACATGAAAGAACGAGAGATGGGGGAGCCTTGCAAACTGTTGCCTTGGCCGGAAGAAGACTACTTCAGCATTCATATGGGTGTGTTTTTGAGGGGAGCCTTTTTTGGCTTATTTCAGCAGGAAGCCAAAGGGAAACCAACCAGTTTGGGGGCCCTTAGCTTACACAGACCTATAAATTATCAGTCATGTTCTTAAAGAATGAGCCGGTGTTTCCATGTCGGCAGCTCAAGTGACCAAGTGACAGAAATAATTTTCACTTGCACATGCATGCTTGCTTCTACGTGTCATGCCCCTCTCTTACAAGTAGCACTCTTTGAGGGTGGATGCAGCTGGGCATGTCAACCGCTGGTCATACGTGCTGGAGAGTGGATAGTTAAGTTGTCGATTCCCACCGCCACTGTTCGGGCCAAAGTGCAGGTTGTATCCTTTGCCCAAGCGCGAGCTAGAGGGAGTACTAGACTATTATTGGGTTGGATCTTCAGACTTCAACTTCTTGGAAAATCCACGGGGTTCCCATGAAACCCACAAAAAGTGAACAACTTGTTTGCAGAGGGGTCAACAGCAAGCAAGTGTTGACCCTGGATTAAAGAACCCGTCCCATTATTGGGGAGGGAACACCCTCCAAAAGTGGTCTGAATCCCCACTAAAAGGGGGTTCACCCCCCCAAGAAAAAACAACCAGGGGTTTATTCAAATTCGGGGTTAGTGAGGGAGTTCACCCAAATAGTTTCATCAACCAGGGGTTTATTCATCGCGTAACATTAGCGAGAGAGTGCGAGTGATTTCGACGATTCCATGGAGGATGCCGTGAGGCCAGAAAATTAATTCGTGGCTGGGGATTGCCGGAGGCGATCGATGGAGGTCTCATTCGGCCAAGCGCCCGATGGAACTTCCCGAACCCGGCGAGTCCAGGATCCTTGGGGAACAGCATTCTAGCTCTGGACCGCATGCAGTGGGGCTTATTCAAGAAAAGCCTCGCGGTTTTTTTCGGGTGGCGAGGCGGGTTTTATCCAAAAGGGGCCCCGTTTCCAACCTGACCAACAGGTGTCCAACTCCACAAAGCAGGTAGCTGTCAACAGCCTCAAGCAGACTACTCATCGCGGATATGCCTTGATTCCGGCGGGATTCACAATTGCAGAGGCTCGCATGCACGTGACTTGTGTTGCCCTTGTCACGTTCCCAGGGTTTGTCCTCCTTGCCACTTGTTCAAGCAACTAGGGTTCAAGTGTCATGCTTCAATCTATTAATTTGAACCATTGTCACGCTTATCCTTGACTGCTATTGGGTTGGATCTTTAGACTTTAACCTTTTGGTTGAAGTCAAGTTGGGTTTTCCCGCGAACCCCCCAAAAAGTGAGCAGCTTTTTGCAGGGGGGTCGTTGCAGCAACCAAGTATCCACCAGGCACCATGTGAGTCTTGTCAGTTGTTTGGAGGGAGGCCCTCAGGCCGAGATCTAGCGGACGGTTTTCAGCACGGCCAAGTCTGTGTGAGTCACTCGTGTTTATGCTGCACGCTCTTTTAGGTGAGTTGAGTCACTTGTGTTTAACATTTCGAGAGTCACAATCAGAGTCTGTGTGACACTCTTTTAGGTGAGTTGCAACATTTCGAGTCACAATCAGAGTCTGGGGTTCATAAATAGGTGTGGCCGCCATGACATTTGGTGGAAGGATGCTAAATGGTCTTCGGTCGACTCCTGCATGACCGGATTTTCATTCTGACTCATGTGATTTGTTTTTGCTTCTTCAAATTTGGGCGATGGTGACTGGAATCTTCGGCGCTATTCCCATGAACAGGATGGGAATCTGATGTATTTGGAGATTCTCATTGTATTCCTGGGAACACAGGGATCGAATGTTGGAATTGACCAACCCTGCATTTGGGCAGCCGAACATGGCATTCGGATCGTAGGTAGCAAGGAGGTGGCCGAAGCCAGGTTGGAAAGGGAGTTGCTTCACAGCCTTAAACTCTACCGCTATTGGGTTGGATCTTTAGACTTGAATTTTTTGGTTGAAATCAAGGGGTTGTTTGACTAAACCCACAAAAAATGAACTTTTTGGAGAGGGGTCAACAGCAACCAAGTAAAGTCCCCCAGTAGTGCCCTTTCTCACCCCTTTTTTGGTTGGGAGGGTTCCCCTACTAAAATAGACTACAAAAAAAGTTGGTACCCTTATTCTAACCTCTCTACTGGAGGACCTAGCCTAAAGTCTGGAGGACCTAGCCTAAAGTCCAAGGGAGACAGAGACGGCAACTGAAAAACTCGCGCGATTCATCAGCTCATGAAGCTTCAGCAGGCGGCTGATCTATTGGAAAGCATGGTTTCCACGCACCTGGACTCGCCCCCCTGAGTTCACGAACTTCAAACTTTTTTGGAAAGACCATTTCTAGTTGTAAATAGAGAGTTCCGAACTTGTTTTTTTGCTGCCACTCCGCTCAGGAAGTGAGTGGAACACAGTTTCAACTTGGGCCTCCAGGACTTGAATAGAATGTGAGTGCAGCGCACACGTTGCAGATTTCTGTATCGCAGCGAGTGTTGCTGATTCATTACCAATTGTAACCGAAATGTCTTTCCCCCCACCTCAGGAGGGGGTTCTACTTCTAACGTGTTGCTACTTCATTAGTATGGAGCGGGCTCGCATTCTGCTTTGCTCGCCTGACTCCGCGATCTTCAAAGCAATTGCCGCTCAGCTGCAGGACTTCTCAAGTTGGACTTAAGCGTGCCCCCAGCAAAAAAAACGCCAGTATCGGTGGTGCTACACAAATGTGACAAGACATGCAGATGTCGGCATTTGCATTACCTGAGGGAGATCCCTCTAACAACCCTGGCAGAGCCACCCTGGAGCATAAACAGACCACTGACCACAACTTGCAATGAGTCTGCTGACTCGCTGTTCGGTTTTGCATGACTAAGGAGTCTGAGAGCCATAGGTCCTGGTTGCTTGGCTTCCTGGTTGATCGACCGTGTCCAGCCAGCTTTATGCTGCACTCCACTTAGTTGCAGCAAGGGACACGCGTGAAGCTCGCGTTTCTCTATTGTCGTGACTGGAACGAAACGGCAAACGGATATCTTGGAACCCCAAAAACCACTTGAAGAGGTGAATGCTTTTTGATTCCAGGTAAATTTAACAACCTTTGAGGCGGTGGCGTTTGTTTCCTGCAAACTTGGATGGAAGTATAAGAGACCCGCGAAACCTTCCGCGAAGCTTCCGTGAAGGGTATCTTCTGCCAGCATAGTTCTATGTGAGCTAGCCTTCCGAGGGCAAGTTGCTTCTGGATATTCTGGACGATAGCTTCTGCGAGTGTGCACGACTTGCGAGCAAACACGCTGTGGGCAAAAACCACCCCGGACAAGACCAAACTAGTGTGGGCTGCTAGCGCCTCTTTTTGGTCTGACTGTGACGCGTGGAAGGCGGGGGCTAAGAGGACAAAGCGAGCTTCCGCGAGCGCAAAGCAATACCTTCTGGAAACCTCCTACGAACCTCGTGCGGCTGCTACATGTGGGGTGCCCCCTGAAGAATTGTTTGATGCCCAGAACGGGAGGAGTTGCTGTGGCCCACCTCTGAGGCCTGGCTCCTGGACTCCCAGGCCGGGGGTTCAGTTTTCAGTTTTCGGCATGGGCCGAAAAGGCGGCGAGGATCTGAAAATGAGATGGGACCTCTTGAACGGCAGGGCTAGGCACAGGAGTGGCCCAATTTGGTAGAAGGTGTATTTTGCTGTTTTGCACGAGTAATAAGTACTTGGGCATAGAGAACCACATCGGTTCTGTGGCCCGCGAGGTCTAAGGAAGTTCCATTTCGCTGTCCAGAGGTCATAGTCTTGGAACCAGTCACAAAGTGCCGCACTCCAGCGCGAAGGGTCCAGCCGCTATGCCCGGCGCTTGGAATCCAAAATGCGGTAGGGCTGCCCCGTTTTGGACCCTGGGCGAGAAGGCAGGGCTAGTGGTCAAAACACGTCAGGGTCACATTGTGAGAAGTTATGCCAAGGGGTCCGACAGAACTGTTCCAATGCGGGGTTCCGAATCACAGCAGACGTCAAGGTTGCTTTTTTTTTTTTCTCAGGGCCGGAAAAGCTTGGGTTGTGCTGCTCAAGGAAATTGGGGTATGAGTCAAAGTCATGGCGTTCAGCTCTTCTGATGGAGTTTACAGACTTCTTGAAATGTGCAGCATTATTTGTTGCAAGCTTCAGGAAATTCTGCCAACATCACAGGGCTCCTAATGGCTGTATCTGAGACCGTCTTCTCTAGCTTCAAAAGTAGGGCAGAGAACGGGTGGGTGGTTTGCTTGCGGTAGGCATGCAAATAACAACTGTCTGAAGACGGAAGGCTCCGTCAACCGGCCCAGACCTCCACAGCTCTTTTAACAGTTTCTGCAGAACATCAAGCGCCAACAGTTTTCCCACACCTGCAACCTGGGTTTTGGCAGGTTTCCATGATGCCAAGTTTCATTCGGGCGCCGGAACGGTGGGCTTTTCTTTGGGTTTTCCCTGAAAGCAACCTGGAGCCCAGTTGCTCAGAGGCACCCCTGTTTCCCTTTTTCTTTGGCGGCTGCCCCCCGAGCAAATGTCAGCACCGCGGAAAGGATCTACCCGAAAAGCGTCGCCTCCACACAATAAAGAAGAAACACAAAGAGTCATCCTTCAAACCAACACGAGAGTTAGCCAAGTAAGCCAAACGAGTCCACCAAGTGAGTGGTTCCTTGCTTTTCTGGATGCCCTCCTCTTTGAAGGACCCCTCCTCCCCCAAAAAGAAACATCAAACCCTCCCCCCCTAAACAATTACTGCACCCAAACCACAAAAACAGCACCGCCTCCGAAACATGAAGAAACAACAAGAGTTAACCCCTTCCCCCCCAAAAAAGAATACACACACACACGACAAAACACACAAAAAAATAAACAATTCTCCTTCAAACCCCTTGCCCCCCCCCCCGCCAAAAAACAGCAACAACCAACAAAAAACACAAAACAACAAACGCAAAGAGAACAAAACAAACAAAACAACAATAAACTCAAACACAAAAGCCCAGTGTTTTTTTGACCCGGGAGTTTCTGGGCAGGTCTGGTTCCGCCTGGCCTTGCTCGCCGCGCTGGCGGCGGCCCTGCAGCTGACGGTGCTGACGCTGGCCGCTGCCAGCCAGGCGGTCCGAAGCGAGTCCCGGCCACGACCTGGGCGTGGCTGAAAATGAAACGATCGCAGGGGCCAACCGCAGGCCGCAGGTTTTGGCAGTCCATGTTGGTACCGTTTTGGTTTTGAGCCACTGCCAAATGGAACAGCTGGACATGGTTTTTATTTTGGGCCGGCTGGCATGGAGACTAGGTTTCCCAGAGCCCTTTCTCTCCCCTTTGTTGGTTGGGAGGGTTCCCCTACTAAAATAGACTATAGAAAGAAACAAGCTGTTAGCCTTATTCGATTCTCTCTACTGGAGGACATAGATGTTTTTGGTGTATGACTCTGAGGTCTCCTCCCAAAACGCTACGGATATTTTGTAGGGACTCGAAATGAAACTGTTTTTGGGTGTATTATGGTGTATTGCTTTGAGGTCTCCTCCCAATTCTATTTGATTTGGTAGGATGTAGGGTTCAATATGAAGCAGACGTTCGATGAATTTGTGTTGACTGAGGTCTCCTCCCAATTTTGTTTGATTTGGTAGGTGTATAATTGTCCGCTGGCCCTGTGGCGCCCAGTTTTTCATAAATATATATATATATATATATATTGGGAAAGGCTCCCCTTTAAGCTCAACTGAAAAAGGATGCCCTTTTGTTCCCATAGCCACTGGGCATCTGAGTAACTCTGAGGTCTCCTCCCAAACTGACTCAATGTGAAGAAGAAGTTTGATTAAGCTTTTCGCCTTTTCGCCGTTTCGCCCTTTCGCAAGAGATCAACGAACCACGTTGTTGTTGTGTTTTTGAAAGCTTTGAGACTGAGAACACACACAAATGGCGAGTTTCCTTTTTCTCGACAGGAGGATGGCGTCGCGCTGTGGGCGGTGTCCTGTGGCTGCGCCTTGGCCAACGTGGTGGCGTTTGCGTCCTACCGGCCCCAGGCGCGAATTCGACTGGATGGTTTAGTCGCCTCCTGACATGGATTTTCTTTGTATTCAACCTCAAACATATCTCCCAAGTGGCATTTTTTGTTCTGGGATCCTTTGTTGGCCTCCATCATGGGATTTGCATCATGGGGACGATGCCCCCATTTAAAGCTCATGACCAAATGGAGGAATTTATGGGTGTTAAAGCCGTATTTGCCTTGATGTTTAACATGTTTTCGCTCTGATTGGCTTCGTTTGCCTCATCACCGAGCCAATCCGACAAAGAATCGTCTTTGAGGCCAGGGTCACCGAATTCCACCTGCAAATAGGTATCCGCGGATGGGTTTTGGCAGATATTTGCCTGGAGATCATTTTTCTACACTGCAATGGTTTTAATTAATGTCTTCCAAATGAATACTATATGTGTTTCCGAACCTTGACTGGTAGTCCTCCAATGGCAGTGCATGTTTTATAAAACTTGGGATTGGGGATCTTGTTTTTCGCAAGATTTGCCACCTGCCATTTCGAGGCTCCTGACTGGGAAGGATGGACTGTTCGACATCCAACCCTAGACCCTTATCCCCTATTCACTACCCTAAAGCCAAACCCAACACCCACACCAACCCCCGCCAAAACACAGCGTTAACAAATCCAAAGCCAGCCCCCGGAATCCACCCCGAAACCACCCCACAACCTGACCCTCAACCAATCGCCAAATTGCACGATGCTACAAAGCATTATTTAGGATAGGGTGAACATTCATATTCAAAGGATCCTGGGTTCTTCAGGAAGATCATTTTACCGCGGCGTTTGTCAACACGCTTTCGCAACCTGTTTGGCGGCCCTTTGCCCAAGGAGGATTGAAGTTCCTGTTACAGCCATCTCGGAGAGTTGCTGTGTGGTAGCGGTCCAATCTGCATTGCGCGACCATTTGGCTTCGCAAGTCGACGTGGAGAGTGGTACCATGTAGCCACTCAAAAACTGTTTAATGTTCATTACATGAGCCACAATCAAAACCTGGGTAGATGAAGGTTAGTAAGGGGCAGTCCCGCCGCCTTTCTAAATCTTTAAATGGTTCTGGGTTCACCATTTTTGTACCAGGTTTTGATTGTGACTCACATGTACGTCTGTTCCTGTAGCTCAGAGGCCTGGACTTTCGACAGTAGCATGGTAGCTGCGCGTCTGCGTGTGCCCGCTCTCCTTGTGAGTCCGTCCGTTCTGATGATTTCTGGGCCGCGGCGGCTCATATCACTTACACGCTTCCTGCTTCAACCCGGAGCTGCCAAAGTTTACTCACACCGGCACTGACAACTTGCCGTAGGTGTCCTTTTTGGTTGGTTTGCTTAGAAAATAGAGGGCCCTGGTTTAGATGGGGTTTATTCCATTTACCAGGGCCATCTATTTTTCCAAAAGGCGACCTATGCAACTTGCGATTCTCGAGCTTTTCTCCGGCTGGAGCCGCCCGAGCACAGTTCAGGCAATACACTCGTAGTGACAAGTCGGGGCTTTGGACCCGTTTTGCGCAAACGGCAAGCTGGAGCTGGAGCGTTCGCACGCTGTAACAACTACTGCTCAGATTAGACCACTCCGGGGGAATCTTAATGTCCTGCGAGCCCGCCGCCCAGATCTCAACAAGCCAAAGACCAGTGCAGCGCAGAAGAACATGAAGAGACTAGGTCGCCCGGTAGTGCCCTTTTGCCCTTTGCGGGGGAGGGTTCCCCTACTAAAAATAGGCTACAGCAAAAAGAGTTGGTAGCAACTTATTCTAACCTCTCTACTGGACCTAGGCAAAGCTGCAGCTCGAGCTGAAGCTGCGTGCTTTGCAGACTGGCCCAAAAGCACACGAGATGCGGACTTGGTTTAGACCATTGAAGCTGAAGCCGGAAGTCTCCAGATGTTTAGAGTCGTCCCACTGAAAACACGTAAGGAACAGGCGGCACGAGACTTCATGCTTCATTGTGCCAAGAGTCTACACCGCTAGAAAATGCGGGTCTGTTCCGTCCTCCCTTTATGCCTTTTTGTTGGTGGCCCTCACTAAAAATAGGTCCTGTCGCAGAATCAGCCCAACAAAAAGGATCGTGCCACTGAGATCTGTCCCTTGGGGGTCTCCTGGGATAGCGCCGGGTGGAGCTGGTGCTGATATATTCACGTCAAGCGGACGCTGCCATGGCCACTGGTTGCCACGGTTACATCGGCCTTCCTTGAACAAATGCACACTTGTGGTTCCGATCCGGCTATATTGAATCGTGGTCTTGACTCTTGACCTGGATTTGCCCTTACCTTTTGCTTTGCCTTTGGGTAATTACCTTGACATATTTGTCCCCGCTCGTGCAAGCACCTTCCGGGAATGCACGACAGCTTGCCTTTGGCACATAGCTCCTTCTTTTGTCAGGGGTGGACATCACACTCTAAGGAAAGAGGATATTTGAGTGCGGCTCAAACGGACGAACCCCCCCCCAAATTGGCGGTTTTCCCCACTAGTGCCCTTTCTCACCCCTTTTTGGGTTGGGACGGTTCCCCTACTAAAATAGACTACAGCCAAAAAAAATCGGGCACCCGTTTTCTACCCTCCAAATCTGGAGCGCCTAGACAAAGCAAGGGGTTTTGCACTAAACCCCCGAAAAGTGGAGAACTTTTTGCAAGGGGGTTCAACAGCAACCAAGTAAAGTCCCCCAGTAGTGCCCTTTCTCACCTCTTTTTTGGTTGGGAGGGTTCCCCTACTCAAATAGACTACCACAAAAAGTTGGTACCAACTTATTCTAACCTCTCTACTGGAAGCAGGGCTTGTATTCCAACCCCTTTTTATTGGAAGCAGGGCTTGGACCGGGCTACTGCCAGGTCCGGGGCCTGATCGGCAGCAAGGGCCTGGCGCCGGCCCAAGGCGCGCTGCAGCGCATGGAGGCCGCGAAGCTCCGCTTCGCGCGGGGGCGCCTCGGGCCGAAAGGCGCTTCGGGCTCGGGACCGCGTGGCGCCCTGATTTTTTTGTTCTTTTTAAGAAACAAAATCCGTCTTGTGGCTTTGGAGGTTGTTGGATTTCCATGTGTTGTGTCCTCCAACTTGTTCTGCTTTTTTTGGCTGCGTTCTTCCCCACCCGACAGGTTTGGGGTTGTTAGATTTTAAGTAATATCCGACTGCCGCAACCCTCCTGCCCGTTGCTTGCCCGCCCGCCGACAGAGTCTGTGACAGTCAGTTGTGACAGTGACCCGAAGTTTGAGGCAGTAGCCGGACCAGTCGATGCCTGTTAGGCTGGGGTTCCCGCTGTTAGGTTTCTCTTGCTGTGAACTGTGGTCGGTGACATTTGGCAAACCGGTATTTTTTTGCGATGTTGGGAAAGCACAGCAGCGCCTCTCAATGGGGAATACTTACATCGACAGTGGCTTGTGCAGAGTCCAGTGCTTCTACTGCCCAAGCTCGCCCAAACAGTACCTGACGGTTTGCGCGTTGCACTTGTTAGCAGCTACGGATAGCTACGGTGAAGCAGCGCGTAGTTGTCCACGGTTTTGTTTGCTTTGCTTTCGCATCACCCGCTAGAAGCCGACTGCTAGCCAGGATTGGATTCTTTTGGTCGCGCAATGGCAGGAATAGAAATCAGCAACTGAGCGGCCTGAAACAACCGCTTCAAACAACATGTCTCCTGAGCCTTCGAATTAGTAACTGTCTTAGGGCGGGGATTGGTCGAAGTATTTGGATTGATGGTTTGGTCGTCATTGGTGATTTGGTTGTCATTGGTGGTTTGGTTGTCATTGGTGGTTTGGTTGTCATTGGTGGTTTGGTTAGCATTTGCGGTTTGGTTGTCATTGGTGGAGGTTAGGCAGGGTGGTTCCCATTGACCCTCTATAAGGCCGGGGGTTTAAATCCCCAACCGAATCGGGAGTCAGTGTTTTCAGCTCCGTCTGGCTGTCCTATTTGGGGTTTCCCAGTTTTTCGGGCTTCTTGACCCCCCAAATTTGTTTGCGGGACCGGGGGGGCCTTTCCGAATCACTCCCCCCCAGTACTTTTGACCACTTTCCCTTCTGAGCAAGTCGATTTGGAGCTGTCCGTGGCAACACGTGTGAATACGTGTCCGGAATATTTGCGACGCAGCCCTCCGCGGAGAAGGAACCCTGATCCTGGCATGAACTGGTAGACGTAGAGCTCACAGGCCCGAAGACTGCGGGGTATTCCGATGTGAGGTTTTCCATAGGGTTTCTTTGCGATTGCCAACCTCGACACTTTGGGACAGACGCAGCTTAATTTTGACCTGTTTTCACCGGGAGTTCACTCGACCATCATCATTTCGAAGCCGCGGTATGGGCACGCTTGCCCCAGCCCAGCAATGCCACATTGCAACAACTGCACATGGCCAAAGCTGTCATCAAGACCACCTTTTCGAGAGAAATTGAAGCCATCCCAATATGTACCCCAATATGTACCGCTATACTGGAAGCCACTCTGTGGCTCCAATAAGTTGTTGCAGGATGGGTTCTTTGGCTACCTACCAACATGGTACTCGGAACCGGACATGTAAATCACCAGCTGTCGCCCTCAGGCCATGCTGCTTCCGACTGCTGAAGTCACCCGGCACTGTGTCTGACAGGACGCCTTGAGGGCTGACCGTCGAAGTGGGAACTTAGACACTGCAAGGGCCGAGGTCTCAGGGAGCCATTGCCATGACCCACAGCTTTGGCCACTACTCCCATCCGTTGAAATCGGGATTTAGACGAATCGTAGGGGCGCTTATGACTCACAGGAGCTGTGACTGTTCACACTGCGCGCCTTTGTGGGGGCGATCAGTTTCCGTTGGCGGATTGCCATGATTTGTGTGCAACGTTCAAGAGCAGTTTTGCTGGAGGCAACAGGCTGCCCAATGCCTAGAGAGGTCCGTGGGGATCGGTCCATGGCCAAAATTTGAAAGTTGGGGATCTTGTTGTTGTCATACTATCTCCAATTGAAATCGGCTGGTGCAGTTTTGCAGGGGCCTTTCAAACCACATGCATACCATGGTTGTTTTTTGCTATCACATTGCCTGCGTTGTTTTCTGGCTTGATTTGAGTCTTTCGCCAGGGTTCCGGAGATGGCTGGGGATAATGGCCACTCTTGAGGAAACCAGGATGCAACAAGAGGGCTCCTGAAAAGATACATTTTCTCCATTTGAAGCATGGCTTTTTCCGCCAAAATAAAGGGACGCCACCATTTACAAGGCAATGTTCTGGTGTATAATGTAAGGATCCCTGACAAGAGGGTACATTTTTGCTTAGGCGTGCTCAGGTGGGACCCATTGAGCAAATGATCCATTTCCCATGCTCGGCATCGTCCGCAGAACCCAGAAAGAGTTCCTTGTTTCAACTGGGAAAGGGGGGCCCTTAATTGGGACAGCATTTATCAGTGCAACCCATAGATGGATGACACATCGCATATGTGTACATGCTGTATACTACGCAAATAAATAACTGAAACAATTCAACAATCAATAAATAAATCAGCATTAGTTTCACAGCAGACACTCCAGACCATAAAGTTCGACTTTTATGTGCACATATATATGAGCCACGGACAAAACACACGAAGGCCACTTTATCAAGGCGGGGTACGTTTTTGCATAACACATGCCAAAACCATGCAAAACGATAAGGTCTCCCCCAAAAACGATAACCCTTAGCTAACACACGGCTCTATAATAACCCCTGCAGTTGCAACTTAGCTAGCTGTGGGAGCCTTGCGTGGCCACCGTAAAACGAGAAGGCGAGTCGCCACTTTCGAGCTGGAGCTGCCAAGGTGTGCTTCGTAAAAACGACACTTGTACTACAAAGTTGCGATTTTCGAGCTGGAGCTGCGGAAGTGTACTTCGCTTACTAGACCTACAAAGTTGCGATTTTCGAGCTGGAGCTGCGGAAGTGTACTTCGCTTACTAGACTTGTACTACAAAGTTGCGATTTTCGAGCTGGAGCTGCGGAACTGTACTTCGCGTACTAGACTCTTACTAGACTTGTACTACAAAGTTGCGATTTTCGAGCGGGAGATGCGGAAGTGTACTTCGCGTACTAGACTTGTACTACAAAGTTGCGAATTTCAAGCTGGAGCGCTGTGGAAGTGTACTTCCCGTACTAGACTTGTACTACAAAGTTGCGTTTTTCGAGCTGGAGCTGCGGAAGTGTACTTTCCGTACTAGACTTGTACTACAAAGTTTCGATTTTCGAGCTGGAGCTGCGGAAGTGTACTTCGCGTACTAGACTTGTGCTACAAAGTTGCGATTTTCAAGCTGGAGCTCCGGAGGAAGTGTACTTTGCGTACTAGACTTGTACGACAAAGTTGCGATTTTCGAGCTGGAGCACGGGAAGTGTACTTCCCGTGCTAGACTTGTACTACAAAGTTGCGATTTTCGAGCTGGAGCTGCGGAAGTGTACTTCGCGTACTAGACTTGTACTACAAAGTTGCGATTTTCGAGCTGGAGCTGCGGAAGTGTACTTCGCGTACTAGACTTGTACTACAAAGTTGCGATTTTCGAGCTGGAGCTGCGGAAGTGTACTTCGCGTACTAGACTTGTACTACAAAGTTGCGATTTTCGAGCTGGAGACTGTGCTTCGCGTACTAGACTTGTACTTGCGATTTTTACTAGACTTGTACTACAAAGTTGCGTACTAGACTTGTACTACAAAGTTGCGATTTTCGAGCTGCACCTGCGAAAGTGTACTTCGTGTACTACAAAGTTGCGATTTTCGAGCTGGAGCTGCGGAAGTGTGCTGTGCGTACTAGACTTGTACGACAAAGTTGCGATTTTCGAGCTGGAGCTGCGGAAGTGTACTTCGAGTAGTAAACTTGTACTACAAAGTTGCGATTTTCGAGCGGGAGATGCGGAAGTGTACTTCGCGTACTAGACTTGTACTACAAAGTTGCGATTCTCGAGCTGGAGCTGCGGAAGTGTACTTCGCGTACTGGACTTGTACTTCGTGTACTAGACTTGTACTACAAAGTTGCGACTTTCGAGCTGGAGCTGCGGAAGTGTACTTTGCGTACTAGACTTGTACGACAAAGTTGCGATTTTCGAGCTGGAGCTGCGGAAGTGTACTTCGCTTACTAGACTTGTACTACAAAGTTGCGACTTTCGAGCTGGAGCTGCGAAAGTGTCCTTCGTGTACTAGACTTGTACTACAAAGTTGCGATTTTCGAGCTGGAGCTGCGGAAGTGTAAATCCCGTACTGGACTGGCACTACAAAGTTGCGATTTTCGAGCTGGAGATGCGGAAGTGTACTTCTCGTACTCGACTTGTACTACAAAGTTGCGATTTTCGAGCTGGAGCTGCGGAAGTGTACTTCGCGTACTAGACTTGTACTACAAAGTTTCGATTTTCAAGCTGGAATTCCGGAAGTGTACTTCGCGTACTAGACTTGTACTGCAAAGTTGTGATTTTCGAGCTGGAGCTGCGGAAGTGTACTTCTCGTACTAGACTTGTACTACAAAGTTGCGATTTTCGAGCTGGAGATGCGGAAGTGTACTTCTCGTACTAGACTTGTACTACAAAGTTGCGATTTTCGAGCAGGATCTGCCAAAGCTCGAAAACACTGTAAAACGATAAGGTCTCCCCCAAAAACGATAACGTTCAAAAAAGTACTAGGGCCAAGTAAAGTGTTTCGTCCGCTCCTCATATATACATGTTACGCACGTACATACAGGCGGACAGACAAACATGCATGCATGCATGCATACATACCTACTATACATATATTCTTGACATCCACTCGGGCTGCAGCATACGCCCCGTGCTCGAGGACTTTGCTGGGCTGCTGTGACCTCGGGCTCCTGGCAAGCACGCTGCTCGCCGCGACCCAAATGCCTTGCGAAAGGATCCTTTGGACCCGAAAAGGTGAACCCGTGGGAAAACCAGTGAATTTCTTTGGTGCATTTTGCCAAGGGATGTTAGGACTTTAACTTTTTGCCAACTCATGGGTTTTCCATTAAACGACTAAAAATTAAACTTTTAGCAGGGGAGCAGAAAGCAACCAAATTTTGGGATCTTTGAAGGGATGCCCTTGGCAAGGGAAAAGGATGGAATCTCCCTCCAGCCGATGCCTTTCTTTGCTTTATCCTTCAAGACGGCGATTCAGGGAAACACCACAAGAGGGTTGTTTGTTGTTCAAAGCGTGGATGCAATTGTTTTTTGTTGGACCCATTCAAAGGTTCCCGATTGGTACCTTCCCTTTTGACCAGCATTTTGACCCGCACAGATCTGATCTCGGGTTTGTCTCCTGGGCTACCCGTTTTTGGCCAAAAATCGAGTGATTTTATCCATTTGAGCTTTCCTTGTGTTTGCCTTCTTGCAAAGATACCCTTCGCGCGGAAGCTTGGGGTGTTTGCGAAAGACCCACCAGTTCCTTCCAAATGCACTGCTTGGACAAGTGACAAGTCAGGTGTACATCATGCCATTGGGCCATAGTGTGCGTTGCAATCACGGTGCAACATTGTGCTCAAGGAAACCATGCACTGCTTTGCAAGGGGAGCACACCTCTCAGTGTAGCTTGTGCCAGGTGCTGGCAACTGAGCCTTTTGGCTGCAAGCTGGTCCACAAGCACATGGGAACATATATACGTCCATGGGGAGTAGAGTGCACTATCTCTTGAAACCAGCCCCCGGATCCTGGCTGACATGAATTGCTAGCGTTTGTACCTCACCTGTTCCTATAGACACCGATCTTCCCCCCCACCAAGCAAACAATATGCAGGGAACAAGGTGAACACCAAAATATGTTCATTTCATGTAGCTAAACCAACTGGAGCTGGCAAGGCTAAGTCAACCTCTGGTGGCTGCCAATGTCAGTTGGGTTTCTTTCAGGGAACTCTTGTGCCCAGCAGCGGCCAGCATTGTGTTGCAATTGATGTTCTGTGCACCAAGCTGTAAGTCATGTGGTTCTTTGGTCTCCAAATATTTCAGACAGTAGTTTTGCAGCAGATTCCACAGCTGCCCCCTAAGGGCTAGGCCTTGAGGGATCGGGCGCCATGCGCCTACCTGCCGCGTGGCTCCGCGGTGGGACCTCCAAAGGCGCGACATGGAACCTCGATGAAGACTTCACCGAGTTCAGGAAACTTGCGATCGGTGCGATAGGCAGGCTAGGTCCCCCAGTAGTGCGAGGGTTCCCCTACTAAAATCGACTACGGAAAAGAGGGTACCCTTATTCTAACCTCTCTACTCAACAGCCTAGTTGGAGAATGTGGGAATGAACCCAGCAAATTCCCTTCAAAGAAATCATAGTTTGTGTTTTTACTTCTTCTTTTTTTTTCCGGGGTGATTCCCTCACTTGTTGCTGCGCACCCAGCAAGGAAACCGGGAGCGGAATCAAAGACATTGGTTGGGGGCAAAAGCTGAGGTAGTTTGGGGTTCTCTCTTTTGGAGGCATAGATGTGAGGGAGCCAGCTGTGCCCCCTGGGCTATCCAATGCAAGATCCTGAGATTCATGTTTTAACCTCTGCTTGAAGACCCCTCGGGAGTGCAGAGCCAGTGTCGCGGCTCGTCCACTCCAAGATGACTGCGACTACAAAACCCGAGCTGCGCATGTTACGTGGGCCACCAAGATCCCCCAAAGGAAGTTGGATATAGTTTGTGTCCACGAAAGGGTCCTTGGAATCATACGACCCACGAATGTCGTACACAGATGCGCAACTTCATACCAACAGAAGCGAATGTCATAAACAAGGAAAGCAGCAGCGGATCGACAATTGTCGGTTTGTTCTTCAGACTGAGAAGTGGGCGCGGGCTAAAACAGGGGCCTCCATGGCTATGAAGGCTCTGCTCAGCTACCAAGCCGTTCTTGAATGGCGCATCAGTTACGCGGACATGACCTATGACCGCACCAAGATGGAGTCTCTCATCCACCTGGCGGAGGAGCAGAAGCCGGTCCTGGAACTTGTCAGCTTGCTGGAACGCGAGAGGGACTCTCATTTGATTCAACTGCAGGGCACTGCAGCGGCCAAAGCGAGGAGCATTGTGGACTTGATGCAACATGCAGACAAGGCCTGGCGTGAGATTACCAAACACTCTGCCTCAAGGGGCTGGTTTCATTCTTGGAGCTCCTATTTGAGACTCTACGTTGAATATGTATTAAAGAATGAAGTGGTCCTGAAATGCGACAGGGCAATCCCCAACACAACTAGTAGAAACCACACAGCTTGTTATTTGATGCCTTTCAGGGTCAAAGCCTTCATAATCAGGGTCTCTGGCTGATAGGGACCCAGAACCACCCCAGAAAAGGACTCTCAAAAAAGACCCGTCCCCCGCCCAAACCCCAGAGAGGGCACTCTGCAAGCGGCAACACACAAGGATTGTGGGATGCACTCAAACAAAGAATTCCGTCCGACCCCCCAAACAGGCCTAAAACCCAAAACCCACCCTAAACTGTACCTTTACCTAGGTCCCCCAGTAGTGCTCCTTTTGTTTGGGGAGGGTTCCCCTACTAAAATAGACTGCAGAAAAAAGTTGGTACCCTTATTCTATCCTCTCAAATCTGGAGGACCTAGTTACTCAAAACTGACCCCACCCCAACCCCGCACGAAGCCAGCGAGCGCCAGGCCTCTTCTTCCGGGCCGCGCACCTCCCGAAGCCGGGCCCGGACCGCGACGGGCTGATCCTGGCCGCGCTGGGCAGCCCGGACCGGGCCGGAAAATGCGTTTTTGTGGGTCAAGCCCCCCAATAGAACTTAAAGGTGGACCCAATTTAGATGGCTGTGGCTCACAAAACCGGTACCAAAATGGAACCCTGGTAAACTAATTTAGATGGCTGTGGCTCAAAAAAAACGGGATTCCAACATGGGTTGCCCTGGTAAGTGGAAAAATGGACCAAAACCTGCGGTTTGCCCCTCCTGTTAAATTTTGAGCCACACCCAGATGACAACCCTTAGGTAAATCATGGTAGTTATATCAACCCCCATTGTTTTAATGGTTTGTTTCCCAGGGTGTTGGTCGCCAGACCCTGCCACTCAACTTGGCTCTTGGTAGAAATAGGGGTGTGTCTTTAGTTTGGGGGAACCGCCAAAATGGCTTCGGGTTTCCCGAGGTAGCCTAGATGACGACAAACGTGAGACCTTTTGACCGAGCACCTCAAATTAGTAATCAGGGTGGTTCGCCTTCTGCTGGGGCGTCAGCAATAGACCTTAAATCCATTTTGGAACGGCGGTAACTTTATCAAATTGTCGGGTGACCAACATGGATGTTAACCCACATAGTCTCATGAGGACTGATAGACGTGGCGAGCCGTAGTATGCTTTTTTGACGGGGTGCTAGGCAGGCACTTGCTAGATCTTTTGCTCCCATCCAGGCTCACTGAATCCCGCCCAAACCCAGCCAAAGTCCAAACCACCGAAGCATCAACCAAGTCCGCCGGACAAACTCACCAACATTTGTTCCGCCCTCGCACACAGCTGAAGGAATCTTACTCAGATGAGCAAGACGATAACTATCGACAATCGACGACTAGCAACCAATGATCCATGATGTAGCACCAGTGAATCCATGCAAGAAGTTAGCCAGACCTTGTTCGGACTCAATTAGCCAGTGCGCCATGTTGGCGCATGTTGGCGCTTAAGCTTACACATTTGGCCGAAGGATGGCGCTTAAATGCGACATCACTCTGAACATGATAGCCTTCTGGAAAGAGCCGGGCCCACTGACTCGTGCTGAGCTTGCCATAGTCCTTGTGAAGCGCGGATGCTTTGGACCAAGAGCAATAATTCATGTTGACCGGAGCAATGCAACAGGACCAAGTGAGAAGCTAAGCTCTAGCAATAGCCAAGCAATGCGATCAAACCGAGTTGACCTATTGCGGTCTATAACTGGTGATTCCAGGGAACATCACAGATTCCCACAACCCCGCATCCCGAGCGGTCCGTTCAGTGCAGGTCTTTTTCGCCAAAAGTTCATACTCCTCCCCACTTCTCATGTCCATGGCAATTATCGCGTTGGCATGCGATGGGAAGCGAGGGAATGCCCGTCAAGCCCCACGCCCTGTTTTCCAGATCAAACCATTTGTACTGGAACGAAGTGATGAAAAAGACTCATGAATTCATATGTCGAACATTCTCCAAGTATTCTTGCATGCTTTTGTTTCTTTATCATGCTTCCTCATGTTCGGTTTCCATTCGTGAAAGCACCCGAAAAGGGCAGCCTTCTATTTCCAGATCCTGTTGCCAGTGAGGCCTCCCTCCCCAATCTGTCGCCCAATGGTGACAGATTTCAGGTTTCCCTTCAGCCCAGTTGGCTCCTTTGCATTGCGAGACCAAAGTGACTCCACAGACAAACTCGGGCCACGAAAGTTGTTTGGTATGAGCACGTGGGTTGACATCTGTTGGGGCAGATTAGTACAAAGGGCTTCTGACTTTGGTGAATTATAACTCACCCATACTAATTGTAGGTTCATTCCAGTCGGTCTTCCACTTGAGAAGGTCCATCAGTTTGTTACCTTTTGGAAAGCCCAGACCCGAGCCAGGGGTGCTTAAGGAGAGAAGCACCTCCCCAGGATCGCCGAACCCCGCGGGTCCGAGTCTCGTCCCCGACGCAGGACCCCTCCGGTCTGCAGCTGAATGGCTTGGGCGGAGGCATCTCCTCCACCAGCAAGGCGACGGAAAGATGCGGGTCCGCTTTGAACCGGGACCCCGCAAATTCGTGACATGAAGTTCATGGTCCAAGCATCCCGAGCCCCGAGCTGGCGCCATATTTTTGCAGAGCCGTTGGTCCAATGGCTTTGCAGGACGTTGACCCACAAGTGTGAGTTGGGATTCTCTGAGACGGACATGTACCTAAGAGACATCTTTTTAGGGATTTGACATACCAGTTCACGGGCTCATGAGACAAGGCAAAGGCTTCTCCCTCGCTTGAGTGTTGTTTGCTAGAGACTGGGAGCTATAGGAGTTCTGCCACATGTAGCAATGAATCTCGACGCTTCTCCACACATATCTTGTCTTATCGTCGGTTGACTGTGTTCACTTCTAGAGTGGGATACACACAAAACAAAAACGTGCTTGAGCGTTGATTGCTAACGTGCGCTGGTTTGTGAGGTCCTTTGCTCCATCGCCCCTCTTGGCTCAGGATGTTGCAGTGTCACCACGCTTTAAGGCGGCGCAACTGCTCATCAACGTGGCAACCCGTCAGGTTCAATACATCTTGAACACGCCAAGCTATATGCATCTAGCACTTTTTTTTAACAAGCAAGAGGTCGGATTTCATCTTGCAGGTTGCCACCAGTTCCATGTCCCTTGCCATTGTCTCAATGCTCTTTGGGTCCGAGCACAACTTGTTCAGAAGAAACAATTGAGAACATGGCCCGCTCTTGACCAACCCTTATTTTGAAATCCATTCGACAAAGTACTGAAGAACATAGCGGACCCCGTTTTTCTTTGGCTAAGCCGGGTTGTCAACAGGGTGACACTTGGCAAAGCATTGTTTATGGAAACGGACACACACACCAGAACCACTTTCCACTTGAGCGTTTTTCTTTCTATTTGAGCTTTTTTGGGTGAAACTTTTTGCTCGAAACGGAAACATCCAGAGAAAAGTGCACACTGAAGACCTAGGTATGTTGACACGTATAGCCACAGGGATTTTTTGCCTCGCCCTGCCAGGTGGTCATCATCTCCAAATCGGAGCGCCGCCTGCCGTAGATCTGCTTTGAGGCCTCGGCTACACTCTCCTTGTGGTTTCAAGGGAACCTGGCGGGGGGTGTAGGGAGGACGGTGTCGCTTTGCTCGCTAAAGTGAATCAGTATAATATTTAAACTCTAAACCTCAAAGAACCAGCAGTTTTGGGTCCTGTTCTAACTGCCCCATTGGCTTTGATTGTGACCAACTCACTCGATTGAAGTTCCATGCCTTTGTGTCTGGACAAGGGCCTTTTCACGATCTTCCAAACCTCTGTCCACTTCCACTGGAAAGGTACAACGAGCATTTCCGAATCGATCAGCACAGTTGATTGCTTGGGGCCGCGAAGGTTCCATTTTTTGGTCTAGTTCTAGTTTGTCCAGATTCGTGACCGTGAAATGCTATGAGAAGGTCACATCATTTAATTAGCAAACTGCGTCACTTTTTGTCGAGGCAGCACACATGTTATGCAACTCATGACAGTCCATTCTGAGGCGAGGGCTGCGATGTGGACTACCTCTTCGGTCAAGTGGAGATCAAGGACGCAGTTTGCGAGTCTGTATTTGTTTGTATCAAGGGTTTTCTGCAACCTTTCGGACATGGAGAGAGTTGGTGCGTGAATGAAATGATTCTTCTGTACACAAACTCTCACAAGCTGAGCACTATTCCAATGGATCCCAGTTTCCCCCCTAGTAGGTAACCAGCCATTGTCCATTTTTTTTTAGAAGCAGGTGAATGGAATCACTCTGCTAATCCAAGTAGCTTGGTGAGGGATGTGGTGATGGACGACCAGACTTGCCACAGTTCCGGTAGGAGAGGCACGTGAACTGGCAAGGCGGGGGGGGCTTGAGGGGATGCTGCGGTTTGGAGCAGCTTTCGGGAGGGTTGGGGGGGGGGTCCAGGGGGTCCAGGGGGGGGTTGCGGGGCTGTTGCAGATACCTGGCTGATTGTTTAGGTTTAGCACACCAAAAGGACGCTAGACAAGGATCCTCCAGTTTGAGACAACCACGTCTCAGTTGAGTTCTCGTGTTGCCCCTGTCGGGGGGGTAAGAAAAAATGGCTCATGTTGAAGGCTTCGGGCAGGCGCACAAATTCGGGTTTTGGGGCCAGGAATTGTGTTTGAAGGAAATCAACAGGTGAAGGTTGTACTAACTATTGAGCGTGTGTGATTTCGGCTGGGTAAAACGTAGAGTGATGGAACATTGGAACAGGCACCTATTTGTGGTGTCAAAAGGGTAAGACAGCAGGAGACCAACCCATTCTAGGGGACCTTTATGTTCCCTTTTTGCAGGCTTAGGGAAACTTCCAACCTTTTTGCTGGGACTTGGAGACCCCCCTCCAGAAAGGAAATCATGGCAATACCTCCGCACCTAGCCCAAGCATGCCATCGATGTCTCCATGATTGACCTGGAATCCAAATGTTCAAAACCCCAGCCTTAGCCCGGAAAGCCCGAGTCGGGATTCTCAGCCTCTCAAAAGCCACTCCTCCCACGCGTTTTAGTCTATTTTAGTGGTTGGATTGCATCGGATGTTCACTGGGTACGATTTGGCTTTTGACCCATGGCCACATTGGACCCTCAAACTCACCCCTGAACTTCCAATAGAGACCTCGAACCCTCTCAGCCGCCAGGGTTCAATCCCAGTGGCTGCGCTTTTCACTTTTCCCGCAGGCAGCTGCGGGAATTTGTCCGCGGGCGTGGGGCTCTTTGCCTTGGCCGAGGGCTTCCTTCCACGCAGCCAAGGCGCGGGGAGGTCAGGCGGTCAGGCCCCTTCTGCATGCATTTCTCAAAACGGCCTTTGATAGGGGGTGTTGCTCCCAAATGCCATGAAATGACGCTCGGTTATGAGTTGTCTCCATATATCCGGGTCTATGGTCACCACAAGGAGACCATTTTAGGCACCACTATTACGAGAGCCCCGTCATACTATGAGCCTGTCGAATATTATCCGCCCTCACGGGGTCGAGAATTTTAAGACCGGGTTTTGATTGCTTACATGAGAAACTGAGAAATGTTTGGTCTATTGTTTGTTTGGAGACGAGCAGCGGCCCATCAATGTTCCCAAGTCACTTTTGGAAATCAAGCCTGTCGACGCAAAATCATACTCCTCAAACTGCATTCCCTTCAGCATCCGTCGTGGGTCCCCCAGAGACGAGTGTTTTTTTTTGGTTTCCCCGAGGGTACTCGTTTTGGGATTAAACGGGATTGTGTGATGGGGAAGCCCAAAAAAGAGCCTCCAATTTTCGTTGCCCAAGTTTTGAGACACGCCCCTCTCCCCTTTCCTCATGACTACTTTGAAGGGATAGAGTAGTCATGGAGATGGAAATCCCACTTTGGTAAAGGGTCCCATGTTTCCCGGGAGGTTTCTTTGGGTTGGGTGCTGTTAAAAAAGGCCCGATTTTTGAAACCACCTGGATTATTCCTCCCAGAGTATGTTAAACTAGAGCCTCCCCGAGCGTTCAGCATGTGGCATTGCAATTAATATGTACTGTAGGAGTAGCCACGTGCTTTATTAGGGGTCTTGCTTTGGATTATTCCTCCTAGAGCATGTTAACTAGAGCCTTCCATATAATCAATATTTCCTGTAGGTGTAGCCACGTCATTTATTAGGGGTCTTGCTTTAGGACACTCTAGGTGTCTGGAGGGGGTCGCCTTATGACTCGGTGGGACCCATACCAGATCTGGTTCCAAAAAATGTAGGCCCCCCCGAAGTCAAAAGACTCCTTCAACAGTCAAGCTAAGCGAGTCTTGGAAGAGAAGGTTCGCTCGAGAAAGGCTTGTAGTCTTTCAGGATTTTCGATAAGCGATATCCTTTTGGGTTGGCTGATGGTTGATTGAGTTTTTGCGAGGCTGATCTTTCGAGGGGACATAAAGGGACTGCTGGCCTGTGCAAAGGTCGCAGTCTCGGTTGTTGAGACCCGCAAAGTATGACCATCCTTCATGAATTCATGAGGCGCCCTATTCTTAGCAACCCGGCAACAGGCGGGCTGCCCGGCGGGCTTGGAAAACTTAGCTGCTTTTGTGAGGGCCGGGACATGGTGTGGGATGTCGCTCTTCCGCCATAATACCAAGGAATTACAAGGCGCCCAACACGACTTTTGCAGCATGTGTCCTAATTGTCTAAGTGATATTTCTGAAAGGCCACATTTGCTTGATAGAAGACAGTCGTTTGCTCCTAATCATTTGGGGATTGAATTCAAGATGGGACCACCTCAAAAGTGGTTGCTGGACATGAATTCCCCACCGAATTCTGCCCACCAATAACGCAAATGGCCCAACTTGGGAGCTGGCTCCTTCGCAGGTACGCAGGTGGTGCGGGTCTGGCAGGTGAACCAAGGCTACGGCATGAAGGCACGGTACATGTTGTGTTCTTGTCTGCCTGACAAACAACAAATCGCCTGTTCAGACAAGGGGTATCATTTTCCACTGGGGACCCTTTGGTGGACAGCAGAATTCGGTGGAGATCCATGTCACAGAAAGGGCGACCTAAAGCGGAACGAATGAAAGCAACTGAATTGTACAAGTGGTTGTTACACAGATGCTTTGCTCATGAGATATCGCATTTCATATGGGGTGTACTCCAGGTGGGAGGGATGACCTTTTTGCTTTTCAGACTGTGAACTTTTCCCAAGGTGTCAACTGTTCAATGAGCCATCCTTGAGATACACTTGGGACGCAGCCAAACACGGAGTTGTCCATTGACCGGCAGTTACTCTAGTTACTTTCATTAGGCGATGCTTTACTGTTCAATTTGTGTGAATTGAAAGGGATTACAAATGATACATGAGACCTGGATTTGTCCACTCGGTGACCTTGAGCAAACGATTGGCCGGTTGGACAGACCGCAACCTTTTATGAGGCCGGCGGATTTTATTTATGTCCCGGTGGAGAGTAGTCATTCGCAGTTGGCCCAATGATCTTGTTTGGATCCCTCCCCCGAGGTGAAAGCACGGGCCTTCTATGTCTAAGAAGGCCTCTGAAACGTGGGGGGGATGCTCTAGATTCAACAGATATGGCTGTGGCTCAAAATTAAACAAGAAGGGTTACGCGGGTTTTGGTCCATGTTTCCACTTACCAGGGTTCCATTTTGGTACCGGTTGTTTGAGCCACACCCATGTATGAGTCCATGTTTGTTTGGTCACATGTTTGGGCCCTGCAGCTCCATAAGACATGGGGCATGTAACACCGTTTGGGAACCTTTCTGTCTGTGGGTGCGACAAATTCCTGCACCAAATTGGTGGCTGGTTTAGCCCAGTCTGGGGGTTTCATCCATTCCAACTGGTGCATTGTCCATTTCATTTCAACTGTCCAACCGATGCATTTCAGGAAGTCATGTGGATTCATCCATTCCAACTGGTCCACGATTTTCTCCATGTCACCCCATGGTCCGAGGCCTCGTTTTGGAGCCTGAAACGGACCTTCGGGCAGGTGCACGTGCCCCAGGGCGTTGATGCGCCGCTGGAGGCGAGGGTCTGAATGGCTGAGTGGCTTGCTGGCACCAAAAGTTTTGGGGGTGTGGGGGCTTCAAAGGGGCTGCAAAGCCATCAAGAAGACCTAGAAGAACGTGCAACAAGAGCAAAGCACTTGTGTTTCTGGAGGAAAACATGAAAGTCGCCAGCATGTTTAGCCATATCGCGTGTCGAAGTCAGGCATGTTTGGGCGGTTGAAACACGTGATCGCCTTTTGATTCCAACGAGACGAGTCTTCTCTACTTTTGACACGTAGGCATGAGCCAAGCTGTTTGGCTCAGTCATAGGTAGGCCTATCGTTAGATCCGCATCTCTGACGGATCCACTGTGCCTTGTGGTGCGAGACTCCACATAAACTTGTTTATGATTAATTATAGAGAGTCAAACTTCATGTTCCTAGAGCTGGCATGATATTCTCAGCATGCTGGTCCCAGATTAAGAGTGGTCTTGGAACTCCATACACGTCAGAGCGTTGGTATTTCTCAGGGCATGTGCGGCACCATACGCTTGGGTGATTACTAGACAAATAATTCAGTTTCCAAAACATGGGAATCCATGCAAATGGATGGATTTCTTTTTGGTTGCGCGTGAAACAGGGTCCTTGTTGTTTGGATACTCAACATGGAAACACGTCTATCGCGGGAACGCACTTCGAGGGATCCCCGTGTCAAGTTCACATGTTTGACCAAATGGCCCTCTTTGGGGACCCAAAGGCGTCAGCATCCTCTGGAACTGAGAGCCGGCTGGAGCGCAAAGCGCAATGATGTCAACCCGGGTGGATTCATAGCGTGCTGCTCCAAAAAGTCGAGGATTCCCTCTGACCAAGGGGTTGCAATGAATGGCTCTGAAAACGCTTGATCCGAAGAATCTGGCACCTGAACAATGCACATGAATCCTCTCTGATCAACGGTCTGAGGCATCAGCAATGTTGATTTTGGCGCCCTAAACACAAAGCAAAGTGTCCACGTCGGTTTGGAGCCCGTGTTTCTTTTGTTCTCTTGTCTCCCGTTTCCCATTCGCAGGCTGACGAGGACAGCCACGACTTAATGCAGCTGGCAGGAATCCCAGGCGGGACAACACTCCGTGCCGTGTGGTCCTTGAATCCAAAAGGACACATGCAATGACAAGTGCAATAGCAAGTCTAAAAGCAAGTCTAAAAGCAACTGCAATGAGCATCTTTCAACTGCAAATATATTCGAACGTCCTTGTTGTCTCTTGAGTTGGCGAATGTGTGCTGGCGAGGGGGCAGGTTAAGATTTCTTGGCTAGAAGCACACAGCAAGGCAAATCAGGGCAACAGCAAAACATGCGCTGCGCATGGAGAGCGGCAGGGCGATTAGGCACGCGACTGGGCCATGGTTTGAGGGTCAGTGTCCATAGGGAGCAAGGACTGAATTCGGCGATCCATCCAGCCGCGCTCGCTCTTGGAGATGGCAGGGAACCCCAAAAAACGCACGAACCTTTTGAGGGGATCTCTGCACTTGTGGGGCATCTTGTCTTGGCACCCCCGGCCCCAGGCCTACCTGTGGCGTGTTCAAACCGCTGCCTTTCAACATCACCTCGTGGTGTCCCTTTTAAACAGGCACCAATTTGCACCACTCCCGACTGAAAGGCCTCCTTCCCGAAAAAGGCTCTCTTAAGTTGCTTCAAAGTTTGTTTCCCTGGCAAAACTGAATCACACTTGCGGAAGCGAACTCAACTCCAAGGAGGTTTCCGGGATGTGAACCGCGAGGAGTTGTGTTTGCCCCGGCGGGCCGGGTTTCTCCCGGAGGCGCGGAGCCCCCGGTTTACGTGGAGCTGTTGGAGCCGCACGTGGGCAAGCCGCTGCTGCCGACAGGCGACCGACATCGCAAAGATGTGGACCAGTCGACGACCGCAAAGAAAGAACCCCCCCCCCTTCCCTGCCAAAACAACCCAAAACAAAAAGCAAATCCGAAAAAAGCTGCCCGCCTCTTGGTTTCCTCATTGCTGCCGCCACCCCCCCAAAAACAAAGAAAGAAAAGAACGAAAAGCGGCCTTTCCCGCCTGATGATGCCCCCTTCGAGGCCAGCCCACGGACCTTCTGCAGCTAGCAGACGGGCGTCAGGTGGAGGCTACCCTTGTGACGGCAGGCTGGGTGGGGGGCCTTGCCTTGGGCAGGGGGTTTGGGTGATGGGAGAGTGTTGTTTTGTAATCTTCCATTTGCTTAAGATTTTTCCCCCTGTTGGTTTTAAAGGGAATCTATCACTACTGGAAACATGTTTATTTTTCCCAAGGGGTCTTACGCAAACGGAGGTAATTGCTTAGCCCCTTGCATGCCGTTGACATGGGAAGCCCACTCAAGGCCCGTCATGCCCAGTCTGATGTCGATTTCTTGGATTGGATTGATGAGATTGGTTTTCTCGAGTCCTTGTGCCAGATTCGTGGGTTTCTCTGTTGTAGCGCCTCTCCCTTACGGATTATGGCGTACGATTGAGGATCCGCATTCTGAATAACTTTGACTGTGGTGAGCAAGACGGGGGGGAGTGTCTTTTCCACTTTCCCTTGTAATTTAAACATCATCTTTCGGGGCAGTTTGACATGAGCTTCCCTTTGATCGTTAAAGTGACTTGTGCCCCTGACTCCTGGATAGGGACAAACAGGTCACTTAGGTCGATAGATGTGGGCTGGGCCACACAGCGACCTGTCTCAACTTGTCAGGGAGCACGAAGAAGCAGCAGACAAAGGCGTGAGCGACATCTGCGAGGATTTCGGGGCTCATTCAGCAAAATAGTCACAATAACATGTTTTGTCAAAGGGTGAGAGCATGATACCATGCGCATGCTCCGGGCATTTGTGTTTGTCCATGGTTCAATTCTATGCGGATTGCAATTGGGCCGTGGCGTTGTCCACGGTAGGTTCTGCCATGGACTCTTCACAGGTGCTATCGACTCTTCAACCTCTCTTTTCGCCGAAAATACCGGTCGCTAGGATTTCATGCTTAAAACCCGGGCAATTCTAGCTCTTTTGATCTCTGGGGTCTCATCCAAACTGACTTGATTTGTGTAGCCAAACAAAAAGCAGAATCTGAACCGCCCAAAAAAGGCAACGGTTTGTTTGGTGACCTTCCTTTGGAGCAATGGCGTCATTTGACAGGATTTTGCACCACCGCGCCAAGTGGGCGAGGGCCGTTCGGGCAGGCAACCCTACGGTGTTCCTGCCGGCAAAGGCGGCCAACCTGCAGGGGACGGCGCCTGGGCATGCCTGGGCTGACTGGACCCTGCAATTTACATGCTTGAACAAATGAGGGTTATGTTTTGAGGGGACACATAGAATTGTTGTTGTCCTTTTGGTGTCCATCAATTGTTGTGCCACCCAAAAAGGCACCAAAGGGAAACGGGGGCCTTGTAGAATTGACGGACTGGAGGGGGGAGATGTTGTTTTTTCTCCAGGCCCAGCCCCCCAGTTTTTTGCCTCTTGATTTAGAGACCGGGTGTTGGTGGGGATGTGATTTTAACATGAAAGATGCTACGCATCTGTTGATTTATGGGCCCAACAAGCGGGTTGGGTGAAAAAAAAACAGGGTTCCCAACCGGAAACCGACACCATCCGCCATGTTCAGGCCTCCAGCATTTTGCAGGAACACCAGGAGTCACAATGAAACCCCGGTGGTTGAAATTTAGTATGGGTAATGGGAACCCCGGATGAATAATTTAACTCCTGGTTGATTAAAAACGTTCCAGTGAAACAGACGACCATCGAAAGCAATCCGCGTTCTACATTATGGCACGTGTCTTCTATTGTCTCCCTTTTGTTGCAAGGATCAATCATTGCAGCTGCATCTCAAATGGTGCAAAGTTTGGGTGGACACAATACCTACTGCGTGACATGTGCTTAGTACTTGGTTGGACGTCTTGGGCATCATTCCATCTCTAAGAATCTATGTGTGGTTTGTCCCAGGTTTCAGAAGGTTTCATCCATCCAAACTCTTAACTGGTGCAGGCTTTTGTCCATCCACTGTATCTCCTCAACACTGTTGGGGGCACTATACAAGTACAGAAGTTGAAGAAACCATGATGTTCTTCTCGTGGCAACCATGTCCATCTCACCACGGGCAGCATGAATCAATGAATGAACAACTAGGTCCCCCAGCTAGGTGCCCGTTTACCAACTTTTTTGGGGGGAGGGTTCCCCTGCTAAAATAGACTACAGAAAAAGAGAGTGGGACGCCCTGTGGGCCCTGGTTTTACAGCGTTTTCAGCTGTTTTTTAGCTTTGTTTTTCCCATGCTGAGCACTTCTCTATTTTTCGCATGTCGTTGTTTTGGGCCCACCTTCAAGTCAAATGATCAGATGTCATGATTCCCTATGCTGAACACTTCTCTTCTTTTTCAATTCTTTGTTTTGGGCCCACCTCCATGTCAATTTATTGAATGTCATAATTCCCCATGCTGAACACTTCTCTTCTTTGTCATGCCATTGTTTTGGGCCCACTTTCAAGTCAAATTCTCAGATGTCATGATCCCCGTGCTGAACACTTGTCGTCTTTCTCATCTTGTTTTGGGCCAACCTCCAAGTCAAATTCATAGATGTCATAATTCCCTATGCTGAAGACTTCTCTTCTTTCTCATGTGGTTATTTTGGGCCCACCTCCAAGTCAAATTCTTGAATGTCCTGCTTCTCCATGTTGAACACTTTTTCACTTGTCATGTCGCTGTTTTGGGCCCACGTCCAAGTCAATTTTTCGATGGCATACTTCCCCACTTCGAACACTTCTCTTTTTTATCATGTTGTTTGTGGGCATGTCATGCTTCTCCATGTTGAACACTTCTCTTCTTTCTCATGTTGTTTGTGGTCCCACCTCCAAGTCAATTCTCAGATTACATAGTTCCACACGTTCGACATGTCTCCGTCTTTCTCATGTCATTTTGTTGTGCCCACCTCCAAGTCAAATTTCTTCGATGACACTTCCCCATGCCGAAGACGTCTCTTTGTTCTCATGTCTCTGCTTTTGGGCCCACCTCCAATTCATGTTTTTAACATGTCACAATTCCCCATGCTGAACACTTCTCTTCTTTCTCATGTCGTTGTTTTGGGCCCACCTCCAAGTCAAATGCTTAGATGTCATAATTCCCAATGTTGAACACTTCTCTTCTTTCTCATTTTGTTTGTGGGCCCACCTCCAAGTCAAACTCTTAGATGTCATAATTCCGAATGTTGAACACTTCTCTTTTTTGTTTATGTTTTTTGGGCCCACCTCCAAGTCAATTCTCAGATGTCATGCTTTCCCGTGCTGAACACCTCTCTTCTTTCTCATGTCGTCGTTTTGGAGCCACCTCCAAGTCAAATTCGTAGATGTCATAATTTCCCATGCTCAACACGTCTCTTCTTTCTCATTTATTTGGGCCCACCTCCAAGTCAACTTCTGAGCACTAGCAAAGATTGTAAAACTGGATGCAACGATGGGCGGAAAGCCGAGCCAGCGTGCTATGCAATCCGGTGGATGTGATTAATTTTTTTTCAGTTGGACAGATGGCATGGAACGAGTTGCAGCATTTTTTTTTGCCGACCCCCCCCCCTCTCCCAGGACACTGTGCAAGCTTCTTTACTTGGCGTACAAGCTATTCCCAAACTCGTCCCCAAAGTTGTCCCCAAGTCGTCCCGGAGGGGGGGGTTCCCGGGAGGGGGGGGTCGGCCAAAAAAATAAACATGAAAAATATGTTTTTTTTTTTTTTTTTTGGCCGACCCCCCCCCCCCCTCCCATCTCCAGAAACCCTCGAAACTGCGACCATTTCAAACTCATGGCTTTGCGACCCCCCAAGATAAGCACAATTTTGACCTGCTCTTGTTATCTAATAAGGACAAACAAGACAAATGGAGTTATCAAATGGAGGAACAAATTATTCTAACCTCTCTACTGGAGGACCTAGACAAAGAAAACGCCATCGTTTACATGCACCAGCATTCAAACTCACAGACCCGCACTCCCGGCAATACCTACGTTAGTTACATATTTAACGCGGCACCCTGGATTTGGGTCCTAAAGGCTGGAGCCTGGCGGGGTTTTGTCCATGCCAAACTGGGGGGTTCAAGAGAAGCCGGAGAGAAAGTGAAAATTTGGAGGGTTCCCATGTAGATACTCCCCTGTAGATTCAACATGGAGGCCAAATCAGTTCATTCATGGAGGAATCTCCTTTGGGACACCGTTTTGGTTCCATCTCAATCCGCAGGAAGTATGGGCTCAAATAGGGACACCTCGAGAAGTGTGTTTGTTGTTTTGATTTTCCCTAAGAGCCACCCTCACAAGGGGTCAAGGGGTGCCATCGAACAAGAACGGACACCTCCCAACTGCCCCTTCAAGAGCGAAAACTTCCACCCGCCCCCCCCTCCTGCCCTCGTGCCATGCACAAATTAGAGTCTATGTTGCAGCCCAAAAACCCAAAAGCCAATACCCTCCCTTCCACTAACATGGTACCTCTGGGAGGATACCTGGAAGATTGGTTTCCTCTTCAAGGGACCCCGTGTTTGGTGCTATGTTAGTTGGAGGGGGGGTACCCCCCCAAAAGAAGAGGGCTACCTGGACCCGAAGCAGTCCACCATACCTCCCCTTCTCCAAGGAGCTGCCTGCAGACCTGGACTACCAGCAGCTCTTGCCGCTCGTGGAAGAGGTCCGCCATTTGGCGGCTCCCCTCTTCGGCATTGAGGCGCGATTGCGTGCTTTCTTGTTTGTGGTTTTCCTTTAGATAGATAAGATAAGATAAGATAAGATAAGATAAGATAAGATAAGATAAGATAAGATAAGATAAGATATATATATATATATAGATAGATAGATAGATAGATAGATAGATAGATAGTCGTATATGAATGGTTGGTTTTGCTTTGTGTTGTCCCCCCACGGAAAGGTCCTTCGATCCCTTCGATCAGATTTGACCCAAAAATGACATGGAATCATTCGGCGTGATTGTTTCTTAGGCGGTTCGTTAATAGAAACAAAAAACAACTTGGCGAGTCAGCCGTTTCTGGGGACAAGTAACAAATAGTAACAGGCGTTTGTGTGGAGATAAGGACCGCGTTGTCACTGCTGATGATTCCCATGTCAATGTAAATGGATGAAGATACTTGAGCTCAAAAAGCTTTCCAGCAACACAAAAACATTTTTTCGGGATTTGCATTCTTTCGCGGATCGTTTTGTGGGCAAAATCGCACGAGGACCTGCAGCATGCATGGGCAAGCCCCTGGAAGCAGTAGCACGTAGGTGGCATTGCATGCCAGGCTACATGCAATTCATTTCCCTCTCAAGCACCCAAATCCACGCGTTGCGACCAAACCATGCAATCCTAGTTAAGCGCGTTTGTCGTTCATGAAGAAAACACGTCAAATACAGTCAGAAGACAACACACCTTTCGGTCAAAATGTCCAGTCCATGGTCTGTTTGGGAAGAACATGGGGAAGTTTCAACCACACAAATCCAGAAAAAAAACACTTGACTGAACCCAGGTCGGCATATATAGCACATTTTTACCGGGGCTCATGGGGGGGTTGAGCGCGGACCCTGGTTTCGACCCTCTGCTGTTAGGCCCATAAAAGGCCAAATGGAGGTCCAAAAGACATGTGGGAGTGGTCTTAAAATCCCTCATGGAAATGCAAAATGTCTCATGGAGGGCCCCCGTTTACGTGTCGCCCATATCCCAAATACAACTTGATGTTGCCCTGCTGACAGGCATCCTTTGCTTCGATCGGTTTACACTGACAATGTATGCGCAGGTACTGAGTCTGGTAGTGGTATTGATCTACAAGCTGAGTTTAAAGCAATATTGTTTGAGGAGCTCGAGATGGGGTCTGCACACGTGCTTTTCTGCGGGCTTTCAGGAGCGCGAACCCAACAACGGCCCCTGTCATATTTATTTGACGTATTGAACACTGTATTCAAGTTTGGAGGTCACCCAATGTGGGTCCTTTTTGGAGACTCGGCGCCCTTGCCACCTTGGTTTGAAGGTAAGCCAAGTTAAAGGACAATCACGAAATGCTACTTGAAACAAACTCATTGAATCTCGGCCAGATCGCATGTTTCGAAGAGAGCCCCCCCCTTTTCGGGTTGACATTTTGAGGCAAACCCATTCCTGGGTTCGTTCCAGGGTCTCTGAATTTCCCTTTTGTGGCCCTCCAAAAGAGGCATCTTCGTGGGCTTTCACAAGCCAACTGCAACTTTCAAAGGGGAAACTCAGCGACATGTCGGCGTCCTTTTTTTCCGAGGGTGCCTTGTTTTTTGGGGGTTCTTTCAAAAGGGGGGCCACTATTTTCTTAGAGGTTCCCAGCCGTCCCCTAGATTTGTAGGTTTTTAGCGTTAGTTTTCCACGGTCACCCACTAAGAGTCAGTTCGACTGTTCGCCGATCTGAACAAGCACATCCGGGCCTAGGGGGTTTCTCCAATGGTAGATACGTAAAATCAGACAGACAGAAATCTGAATTGATGGAAGATTGTTCAAGAAAAATATCCAAACAAATAGGTACATGTTCCGCTAAGACTTAAGCTTTTAGAAGGGGATCTGAGGTCAGCCCGGCTTTGGGGTTTCCCTCGACTCAAACCAAAGCTATCTTTGACGCAAGCGTCGAGGTCTCGGACCAGCCCCGTGTCAGCTTCGTGGCGGCGCCTGAAGCCTACGCCACCTCCGGCGGGGAGAAAGTGGCCGCGGAGGCGGGGAAACTTCGCGCCGCATTTGTTTTTGCTCGGGGGGTGAAGGGCTGGTTGAAGTGAAGCAAAGTCTGGAGTTGATACAGTATAGGTACCCCCTACTCCGGGTATCATGTCGACCCTCTAGTAAAAAAGGAGGTATTTACCATGAAAAAACAGGTTTTCCCCAGAATTCCCTGAAAAAAACGGGTATTTAACACTACTGAAGTATGGTGTGTTCTACATATATGTTCATAGATAGAGATATGCATGTATGCTGGGGACCAGGTCATAAGTGAAATGATCTGATTGTATTATAGCGCCTACCTCCAAACATGCCTGCTGGGGGGGGGACCTGGATGGCGAATCAGAGAACTTTGTGGAGGGGTTGTCAAATGACACATTGCCCAACCGCTTGCCTTTTTTTTTTCCGGCAGCCTTGTGCACTTGGGGTTTTCAGCTCAAGAATCACCGAGAGGGTCTTAGGCGACTCGGCATGATTTACCCGTGCTGGCGAAACCAACTACGTTGGAGCAATCTTTCGCATGCACTTCAGTCGCCCCCCTTTCCAAGCCCGAACAGAGAAGCAGGAGGGACTTTAAGCAGGCATGAGGGAGCTTTTTGGAAGGAAGCCTGGTTTAGGGTTTAGGGCTTAAACCCTGAACCCTGAACCTTGAACCCTGGACCCTAAGCCCTAAACCATTCACCATCCCAGATTCAAACATGAATCAGCCGCCATCCCCCCACTCCCACCCTATCCCTGCCTGTTTGTTAGCCAAAGAACTTGCCATGATCCAACGTGGAGGGGGCGAAACCTGATTTTCAACCCGCACTTTTTCTTGGCCAGTTGTGTCAAGGGTGCGTTTCCTCGTTTCTTCAATGCGAGCTCCATCGAAATTTGTAAAAGTTGTGTAACAATTAATCATCATCATGGTTGCACAACCACAAGTTGCTGCTCAACTAAGTTTTGGCATTTTTTCCGGCTGGCCCCCTCATGGCTTGCTTTGGCAAACAGCAGAGGCGATGGACCTGCTTGCGCGCATCAGCACCCCCGGTCGCAACTTTGCTGCAGACGGTTTTATTCTTACCTCCAAAGCGTTGGTTGCTGTTGTTTTACGTTTTGCTGGCGCAGGTGGGGTTGCTCGGATGCTTGCTGTGCAGTGCTGTGTGCTTGTGAAAAGCCCATCATACAATTGAGTTTACCATGACGGGCGCGCTTTCGAGAGTTCATCTTCCCAGTTTGCCCGGTCACTGCGCGCCTCGTGAAACGTTGATGTATGCTTTGTGTACCTCAGACCTACCCGCCTAGTCATGGGCCCGCCCACAAAATTGCTTCACAGATGTGAGTGAGTCGAACAGTTTGCGGATGGGCAACAACCCTTCGTAGAGGAGACTCCAGACTGAGGAGATTGTCTTCTGTAGGCGGCCAATCAATCGGTCGTCCACAGAATCAGGAAAGCATGGCAGACAACGATGCGAGCTGAAATGGCGATTGCCACGTTGACAGCGTGCACTATGGGTTTCTGGCCCACAAGAAATCGTGTCAGTCTTTTTTGAACGGCGCGTGCAGAGGCTTAGCACATCAAGGAAGACGTGACTATTGTCCTTTGGCAAAATTCAATTTGCTTATTCTTTGCTTTTCACATGAGACTAGTCCTTTACTGAGAAACTCAAGCACCCATCAATGTGGATCGCCCTTGTCGCTTGGTTAGAGTTCCTCTCGAATGGCGAGGAAGGCGGGGTGGTTGCCAAGCTTTCAAGGACATTGCTTTCGACGGCTGCCCTCAATGAACTTCAAAACTTCCTTAGCACCAGGCTGTAAACCTCTCTCAATCTTTTCTACTTTCACCTAGTTCGTCTTTGCTCATGGAGCAAAGATTGGAGTCTCCTCAGACCACTCGTGCATCGGCGAAGTCTTCGCTTCTTTTGGATCCATCTCGGTCCACGAGGGTCCTTAGTGCCCCTTGGCAAATCTGAGCGAAGTGAGGGCATGGCATTGGACTGGGAATCGACGTGAAACCTGGAAGCGCCTTTGGACCACAATGGGCTTGCTTCCATGGCCGACATGGCCAAAATGAATGCCGCGTGGATGTGTGCTTTCATCTTCTGACCCAGAGCCAAGGATAGTTCTGTTCTAGCTGTGTTCAAGCTGTCCTCTTAAACTTTTCGGCCTTGCTTGCCCTCCGAATCAGCCATTATGTTGAGAGTCTGCCATGGTGCCTGTCATGGCCACCTGACACTAACAAGGGCTGTTAATAAGCATGCAGTACTATTGCAGATGGGATGCGCGGGATGAACCTACTGCAAGATGGACCACATTTAGGACCTCGGGTGTGTCCTACTGGTCTGACCTAATCCGCCCTGTGACTGAAACTGTTTCTGTGTTTCCGTGCGACTGAATTCAACCTGCTTTCACCCCACTGATAACAGCACAGCCCATTCCCATCGCCATATCAAACTGGCAGCATTGGAACCAATCACAGTGTGCAGATCTGCAAGAAGTCTAGTAGTGATAGATTCCCTTCAAAGCCGGCAAGCATATTCTCAAGCAAATGGAGGAGTCCGAAATGGTGGTTGGCCAATAACAAACATGCCTTGCCAATCGCTGACAACCAACCCTCAAAGCATCAACAACAACAGGCTGGACTTGGCTTCGCAAAATCAAGCCGCGTGGCGAGGTATCCACCATGCCTTCACTGGCACTGGCTCCATCGCGCTGGCTTGCGCAGCACAGGTATGGGCAAAGTGGTCGGGGCAAACGGGTCCTCCACCCCGAACAAAGCGGGATGAATCAGGTCCAGCAAGGTTCTTCTTTTGGTCGGCCGGTTTTGGGACTGTTGTTGTTGCTTGCCACCATACCTGAAGCTTGCCATAGTTTCATAGGCAGATGCTGAGTCCTAGTCGCCGGAGTATAGACCAGCCTAGGATGGCATCGGGTAAACAATGCCTTGGCAGACCTGAAACAGCACTGCCAGGTCCAGCGATGCTTGCTTTGTAGGTCCCATGTTGATGTTGTTGATTCCACGCTGACCAGCAACTTAGACAAGATGGATTTTCATGTAAGGTCAAAAGGGCGCCAAGCAAAGACGGCTGCTCAGATGGAGGCTGCCAGCTCCAAAGAGCATTGCCACCAAAGCATTCCCTAAGCATTCCCATGTCTTCTGTGGATCCGCCCGAATCCGCCCGCCTTCAAAAGGAGGGGGAAACTTCGCATTGAACCTCCAGGTTGCCTCAAATCTCTGAACATGTCTTAGATATGTTTGAAAATTGTCTCAAAACGTACCCTCCACAAGGGACACCGCCTGACACCTGGCTCCTGTGGAACCAGGAAGTGCTTTTAGGTTATATCGGCTCAGGTTCCGGAGCTTCTTTGGGCAGCTGACTTGCCAGAACGGTGGTGATTAAACAATCGTCAGTTTCGTTTTTGTTGTTTATATTAAATTAAATCACAATACATAATGACGATAGTATATAAATACAGATCCAAATAAACTAAATGACAAACGTGGCACAGGTGAACAAATCCAAGGTATCGCCCAACCCTTCCCAGATGTCCAACTTTTTGGTTTGATCACCTTGCCCCGTAGGTGGCCGACAGCGTGGTGTATCGCTGCATCCCGGCGGCGAACCGGGCGTCCAAGATCCGCATCGGCCATCCCGGAGGGGCTCCTTGTCTTTTCAGGGATCCTTCTAGACCTGCTGAAACCCAGGGAAAACGGCCAGCCTTTTCTTGGAAAAGAAGGATGGTTGAAAAGAATGGGGGAGTCATCCAATAGAATTACACCAATTACACATAGAACTGATCAACTGATGATATGATTACAAGGAGCCATAGCAACCTAGTGACTTTTGGTACCCTTAAGGACCATGTAGTGTTTACAACCTTCCTATGGCTCACGTGAGGCACCAGGGCCCAAGGGGGGGTCATATTTTTGACGACTGTGGAACCTGAGGGTTGGCTTTTGGAACCATCCATTTGACTCACCTGAGTTCCTGGAGTTCATTTGGGAAGATCATCTTTTAGTGGCACCATAAGATTGGACAGTCCATGGCTCCCAGTTTGGAAGTCCATTTTTCTTTTGGACAGTCCATGGCCTCAGGAGAGAGGCTCGGGGACCCCCTTTTGGATTGCTGCCACCGGCTGGCCGCAAGTTTTGGCACGCCGCAAAGCGGCGTTTTCCTGGCCTGTCTCCAAGACGGAAAATGCGGACATGTTTCTCCAGAACCAAGTAGCACGAGGTCATGATGCCAGGTTCTTAGTGGCAGCTACCTTCTAAGTCCAGTTGTTGAGCGGCCCAGACTTCCACCAATTTGTTGGCTCAGCCACCATTTTTTTCAAACCAGGGTCCCTTTTTACGAGGTCACTCGGCTGGGTGTGGGCAGGCCCCAGCTCCCGCCCCCGCCCCAGCCCCAGCCCCCGCCCCCGCGCCCGCCCCCCCCATGGTTCTTTATGACAGATAGGCTGCTTTGATTGCTCATCCGCAGGTCATGGAAGTCTTGGCGGACGTGCAAAAGGATCCCGACGGATGGCGGGCCACTGGCGCCGGATTTCAACGCACCGCCAGGCAGAGGGCGCCCCGGGTCGCTCAGCGAGTTTTTTTTTTGGGTGTGTGTGTGTGTGTGTTTGTTTTTTGTTTGTTTGTTTCTGGGAAGTGGTGGCAAGGTTGCAGTTTGCCCATAAATGAGTGTCTGTTTGATTGTGGGGGGCGCTTGCGTTGGACAGAAACTAGGCAGTGAAGGTATCCAATAGATGTTCCCATATGTTCCTTGTTTCCCTTATTGTCTGTTCAATTCTCCACCCCAATCGTCCCGGTTGTGGCGCCTCTTTTGCAGACAGGATACCTGCGAAAGACATGGGACGATTGCCCCGAGTGCAAAAGTTGTGCGGAAGAGTCGACCGTTTGGGGAACTTTACGATGTCCTTTTGACCTGCCCTTTGATGTGCTTTGATGCCCTGGGCACCCCTAAAGACGGCGAGCCCTGACATGTCTTGGCGGAGCAGTTGATTTGCTTGCTTCATTGAAGGGTGCGTACGGCGTACCTACAACCAAAAAAACACACGCTTCACTGAGGTGGGGAACCATGCCATGCTTACACACTGGCCATTCCCTGAAGTTTTGTTTGACCCTTCAAGTGATTTCAAACGAGAGGCTTCCAGAAGAGCAGCCACCCCGCTTGCTGGATTCGAGCTTGTGGACGGCTCTGGGCCAGCCCTCTTTGGCGAAAATGTGGCATGGAAGTCCCGGGAAACGTCGCAAGGTCCCGGGAAACAGGCGGTGAAGGGTCAAGACCCAGGTGCCCGCTTTTTTGGGGAACTCCTCCCCCTTTTGGGCCATTTTCTTCGGGAAGGGGCGTGGGGTTCTGTGGGTTTTAGCCCCCTTTGTGTTTGGTCCATTTTCTTCGGGGAATTCTGGGGAAGGCGTAGGGGGGGTTCTGTGGGTTTTGAGCTGGTCGCAGGTATCTGATGCGTGGGGAGGTCTTCATCCCAAGACCCGGCAGAGCTCCCTGATGCGGATCCGAATGGCCCGTCCGAATGGCAGTCAGCTTGGACTCTGGTTGGGTCTTGTTGAGACTTCCTGGAGCTCCCTTCCGGGAGGGTCCCCAGCTTAGTGCCCTTTTGCCGATTTTTTTTTGGTTGGGAGGGTCTCCCTACTAAAATAGACTACAGAAAAAAGGGTACCCTTATTCTAACCTCTCAAATCTGGAGGACTTCCCAATGATGAGCCAGATGTGGCAGGTCTTTGGGACAATAGAGGTATTTGAAGTCTACTCTTGGCAGGCATGCGGCAAGCAGGAGAACAGATTTCTGATTTGCATGTTTCTCAACCCAGATGATGCCACATCCATTCGTTCTTGGAGCTTGGACGCCCTTGCCTGCAACGGCTGGTGTCAGAGCCGCGTGCTTTTTCCTCGCAGGATCTAGCTCAGATCAGGACAGAGAAGACACGGTGGCAAAAAGCGCGGGGCATTGCACGCTTCTCGACACACGGCCGCCATGTATTAAGTTGTGTACCTGTTGGACTCTTTCGTAGAAGAGTGCCTCGTTTGTAGAAGCTTGTTACACGATGTGCTTGTTGTTGTGCCCCTTTGGCCTACTGTTCGAAATTTCAGAACATGAACCTTTCTGTTGAAGTGACTTCAAACAGACTGCTAGGATTTCATGGGAATCAGCATGCTCAGCAGAGTACATTTGAAATATGGACGTGCTTTGTTTTTGGGGTTTGTAGTAGAGCCGGGCGGACATTCATTACACGCCCGGTTACATACCCTATGTAACAAGACCTGCTGGCTGCATACATACCCCTCGCATTCATCAACAAATTGGCCTGGCTGATTGCACCCCTCGTTGAATACCCCCCAATGCATACCCAGACTCTGAGTTTTCCCATGGGTGCGTGCAGAGCAGAGTTTCGCTTTTGCCGGACATACCTGTCAAGAGTCAACATGCAGAGAGCGTGCACTTCACAAGAAAAGTTGGAACAGGTAGCAGGGAGGGAGCGGCAGAAAGAATCCTCTGTCTGCACTATACCTGGCTGCGTAGTCGCTGCAGACCTCGTTGCTCACCCAACCCGCGCCCCCCTCCAGGCCAGCGAGCCCTTTTGCCGTCACCTGGCTTGCGCTGAATAGTCGCAACTTGCGAGGAGTTGCGGAGGTGCGCTAAGCGCGTGCTGCACTACTGAATGCTTGCGACCTTCGAGGAGCGGAAATGCATTTTGTTGTTCTGCGCTACATTAGGCGGTGGTATAGGGTAACGGTTAATTGCTCGGACAGCACAAGACCTGGTTCAAATCCCCCCAGGTACCACCGGGACCGCGCCAGCCGTCCCGTGGAAACCTCAAAATCGTGTGACTGTTCTGCGCTGCATTGTGATACTAGTACTTGTCAAGGATTGGTTTCCCCGCTGTATACCTAGGCAACAAGGCCCCGCGCTACATCTGTACGTGCCGCGCCGCGCGTTACATATCCTGAAAAAGTCAATAAGGGTTCCTTGTTGCTGGTTGGTTTCTTGGTTTGAATCAAGGCCCAACAAGCTTTGGCACTTTTTCTGGCCACCTGGATCACCCAAGAATCCCTTTTTGCTGCCTTTGACTGAACAAAAACCAACAAGGAACTTTTGTCAGGTTTCTTTCTTTCAAGGATGTTTTAGTGTTTTTCCCAGTGTGCTTTCAGTTTTTTGGACCGTCAGTCTTTCTTTTTGAGGTCTGGACTTTGCTTTTTGTTGTACAGCTCCACACTTGTTTTGGAGTCCGACGGGAGACAAATCCTGACACGCCCAGGTCCCCAAAAAGAAAACGCGCCTGTCTCTAACAAACAAACACATAATCCGGCAGACTCGTCACCCCTTGGCCTGCCCAAGACCCCCAGTGTGGTTTTGGTCTTTCGGGCAGTCTCGCAACTTTGCAATGCCCTTTTGGATGCCATTTTAGACCGAGGTTTGGCCTCAGCAGTGGCTCCGTGATCTTGTCGCAGCTCGGCGAGAAGATTCTCAAGGGCGCTAGGGTCGCAAAGCGGGAGGTTGGTTTTCAGGCGTTGCTGAAAGTAGATGTGGAACCACGATCAGGAATTGGGAACAGGGAACACCACAAGGAATACACAGGCATTCGGGGGGGGGGGGGGTTGTGGGTGGTCATCCTATTTTGACGCGTAATGTTGACCCAATATGAATCAGCCCCAGTTTAGTGAAATGGGGATGTGCCCTCCAAAAATTAGATACATCGCCACTAAGCCCAGGGACAACCCCATATTCATAAACAGGGTTGATTCATGTGGGGACAACATTTGCCGCATCCCCTTGGTGAATTGCTGGTCCCAGAGTACGTGGTTGCCGCTCCAACTTAGGATGGGTGCTTGACATTTTATGGTTGTCATTTGCCAGATTCCCGGCTGATGAGATTGATCCCGATCATGTCAAGACCATGCACGCGAACGTCGTGGAATTTAGAGCTGGTTCCCGCCCAACTAGCTGTAAGTAGCAAACGGATCACGATGATGGAAGCACGTGTGAAACCTGTGGTCAGACCAACATGCTGCAGACCATGCACCTGGTTGGTTGTTGGTGGTTGGTGGTTGGTGGTTGGTGGTACTGAAACTGCATGTAGGTTGTTGTGGTTGACTCGGTCAGGCCAATCGCATGGACCGAGGGAAGCTTCCAAGTTCAGAGGACATGAGGCACCAATTCAGGGGTCAATCTCTGAAATCCATCCAAAGTCTGCGAGAGAGGCTCGAAAAGGAGGTGCTTTCCTTACACATGTTACCTGCCGTGGGTGCAGTAATATTATTTAGCAAAACATGGAACTTGTTTGTATCAGGATCTCTCCTAGTTGAAAATTTGGCTGCGTGCCAAAATAAAAGGCATGGATCAAAGGGATGGGTTCCAAACACCATCCCGACCTCGATCCGTACCTTCGGAAGCTTACGTGACCCATAGGTGTCAGTCAGCCATAGCACGCCTGTCAACCAAACTGGTTTCCACGTGTGATTGGGGAGTAAAGCACCCTCCACTTGACTTGGCACTCGAGCAATGGCTCCAAGCGACTGGCAGCCCTGGTGCGCTCGATGTGACGGAGAACCCCGATCATTCACAAGGGCGCTGGCCAATCCCTCGCCTACCTGGCGGGAGCGCTCAGTTCACGGCTTACAAGTTTTCTAGTTCGGCTTGTAGGCACGAGACTGCAGCTTCAGGAGAAAGCGTTTGCTGCGCTGACCACCAGCTGACACCTGCCAAATTGCGCGCGTGTGTGTGTGTGCCTTACGCTGCATGTTGGATCCAAGGAATATTGCATTTAAATAGGATCTATGATACACTTGTTTCGGGTTTGGACTTCTTCAGATATGACTGAGGCTGGACCTGGCGGGACATTCTGGTAGCTAAGAATTGGTTTGGGCATTCGTCACTTTTAGTGTAGATGTTGGGCTCTTGGAAAACATGTTTCCTTCTTTTCAATAAGAAGTTAGGGAGCTGTTAATTGGTGTTTACAGATAAACTTTTGCAGTTAATTAGGGGTGCTTGGAAATCAAGTTGGGGGGTTGGTGGATGTTGGGCTTTAGCAAAGCATGTTTGATTTTGTTTAAAGAACATCAGGGGTCCAGAATGTTATCAGAGAGCAGTGATTAAGCCTTATCAGAGGTTTTAGCCTTTGATCTGTTTGGTGCTGGCTCACGTCGGGGTTATGCGCCGTCAAGCGCGGTGCCGGGACGCAAGCCGCCTTCCAAGAGGTGCGTGGCTCGGCTCGGCTCGCGCGCCCATCTGGGCGAAGAGTGCCAAACCCCTTGGCTGTTCACGGGTTCTAAACCCAGGCTGGGCTTCATTTTTTGGAAACCGGATTGGCATGTTTCAATTTCTGCCCAACCCTCAAGGGCATCAAGCAGTCAAACAATCACCAACTTGGAGCCAGCCCGCTTGGTTCGATCGTCCGAGGCACCGTTGTTGTGGGCCCTGGCTGGGTGGATGTACCTCTCTTTGCAGGCCGGTTGGAGGACGAGATGGCGGGCAGAACATGGATGAAATGTGTATGGTCTTCGTTGGGGGGCCGTTTTTGGTACCCTCTTTACACGATGGCACAAGGTAGATTTTGACAACCCTCCATGTGGTGGGTAAGATGTTTTGTCTTGCTTTTGTGTTTGCATCACCTGCAGGTCGCACCTTTCTGTAGGTTGTAGGCGGGCTGAAGAAAACACGGCCCTTGTTGGACACTGGCGTCAAGGTGTGCCGCCGTCAAGTGCTAGTCTATGGGTGTCCACCATTGCAGAGTCCCTCAAACGATGCATTGGAACTTGGAATCAAGTCTAACATCACCTTTCCCAGCTTTGCTCACTGAGGGGAAGCTGCTAGGGGACCCTTCTGAAAGGTTCCATCTGAAATGACCCCATTGTTGGTTTCGAAATAATTCGCAAGGAAGTAGATCTTTTGTGATTGGCTCCAAGCTACCTATGAGATACCCACATGTTTTAGAGTTACAATTGATTCCCTGCAAGTAGAGACCAAGGCAACCCCTGCAGCTTGTGCGTTATGCAAGTTGCCGCGGATTTGCTGAACATCTTTTTGGAATCCTCCGGCTCGCGAATCCGCAGCCCGCGAGCCCGCGAGGCGGTGTCTGGGGATTTCCTCGGGCTGCAATCCGACTCAAATCTGGTTGAGGCACTTGGGCTGGAGCTTGGGATGGAGGTTAGGTGGGTGGAGCTTGGAAGCAGTTCATTACACTACTTTGTGGTTCGAGTTTCGACTGAGTTCTCTTTGGGGGGCTGTTTGAGGCGAACATATCGCTGGGAACAAACCACGGAAAGGCCCAACTGCTTGTGCCGTGAAGTGTGTCTTTCTGAATATGGTGGCTTGAGGAAGTATGGGTTCGAGCCTTTCTGGCTGAATGCTAGTTGCGACCACCTGGAACTCTGAGTTTTAAGCAGGGCCAGTCGCTCCAGACTAAACTGGAGCTCTGTGATGGAAGTTCTTCCCTCAAGGGTTTGCTTTGATTCAGGTTTTGGACTGCCAAGTTGTGTCACCCATGAAGG